GAAAACCTAAAAGCTGGGGGCGTCCAACTAGATCTCACCGAAGCGATGGTGAGCAATGCTCAAACCTAAGGCTAGGGACAAGTAAATGTATTGGTTAGTAGGGTAAGAAAGAATACAAATGAGGGCTTACTGACCTAGGGACAAGAGGTCGAAACTGAGGTCCCTAGGGCAGCAGAGGCCGGCTTATATACAGGGGGAGTTTAGGGGAGGCTGTGCGCACTGGTCCGTGCACAGCTGGTCCATGCGCAGCATGCTGACGCGGCCCCGGGGGCCGGTGAGTCAGAGAGGCTGTGTCAGCGGAGCCCGAGCTGTGCCGCGCACTGCCACCCCATCTAATCTAATCATACAGTAGATAACGACGCGTCCATATCTGGTATGTAGTACAAAGGTCGCGGGTTCGAGCCCGCGAAAAGGAAAAAATTAAAAAACGGCTAGACGCCGTACCAACTCGTGACACATCCCCTCCCACGTCTACCGCAAAATCGAGCTCGAAATGTTCACCACGTGAGAAGATCCTGACAAGCGTGCCACAGAAGTCGAGCAAATACTCGACATCAGTCGGGCCCGTCAGCCTGAGTTGAACAATTTTTTCTCAGCTCGAGGGGGTGGACGAGGAGGAGTGCGTGGTGGTGCGCCCCAGTCATACGGAGCTTCGGCCAGCATCAATGTGGCCATCGGAAAAGGAGACTTCCCTGGCAGTTGCTTTGGCTGCGGGAAGCAAGGGTACCGCCACTTTGAGTGCCCCAATTGTAAGGACAAGCCTTACACCAAACGCGCTGACACGCGGGCTACGGTTGCCTCGGGTTCCACCCAGGCTATGACAAGCGCCCCCGTCATGACATCACCCTCGGCAAGTACAAGTGCCGCTTCAGTGAGTCCAGAGAAATCTGAGACGCTGGCGACCTTGATGGCACAGGTGAAGTCGATGCGCAAGGAGCTCAAGCACTACCGGGTGATGAAGGAGGAGTCTTTTTGATCCGGTCCGCGCTTCGTGCTGCACATGTCGGGCCGCGTAATAATAATCTGTACAATATATTGGTGACTGCGAATGTGTACAAATTGCACCACGGGTTCCAGCACTTTCACATTCCAGTGCGCCTCAAGGGAGAAAGACGGCACAAGGACATAGTTGCAATGGTGGACAGCGGAGCCACCACGAAGTTTATCCACAAATGTTTCATCACGGACAATCGAGTACAAACGCGGAAATTGAAGGAACCAATTCCGCTATACAATATCAATGGAACACTCAACAAGGATGGAAGCATCTCGGAAGTAGCCGTGCTACAGATGCAGATAGGAGATCACGTCGAGAAGACGGTGTTCACGGTCACGGACATAGGTCCAGAGGATGTGATTGTTGGGTTGGATTGGGAGAACGGCTCCCTCAAGCTGTCACGATGCCCTGAAACGTGCGGGGCTAGGAAAACTGACCGAATGGAGCACACAGCGACTACACGTGATACGGGGGTCAGGCCCACGGCGCGCAGGCGTTCGCCGAAGTCCAAACGGTCAGTCATTGGTGCCTGCCGAAGTAAGGTACTCCCAGACTTCGAACCTGAAGATGATCCGGAGGAAATCGAGTGGACAGAAACCGACTTGATCGAAGCCTGGGAGCAAGGCATCATGCTTCCCGGCACCCCTCAGCTGTTCGTCGCAGCGGGACATACATACTCCCAGCTGTTCGCTGAGGAAGAGATCAAGAAGAAGGTTGTTAAGACCGCTGAGGAGTCAGTACCAAAGCAGTACCATGAGTTCCTGAACATCTTCTCCAAAGAAGCATCAGAACAGCTACCTGAAAGAAAGCCGTATGATCATGCGATCAAACTCGTGCCTAGCTACTCGATGTTCCATTCGAAGGTATATCCCTTGTCGAACAATGAGCAGGAGGAACTGGACAAGTTCCTAAAGGAGCAGCTGGCCAAAGGCTACATACGGGAGTCAAAGTCACCCATCTCGTCCCCCTTTTTCTTCATCAAAAAGAAGGAAGGGACACTTCGACCTGTGCAGGATTATCGCCGACTGAATGTGATCACTGTCAAAAATCACTATCTGCTGCCGCTGATCACCGAAATGGTAGACAAGCTCTGCGGCGCTACGCTCTTCACAAAGTTTGACGTCAGATGGGGGTACAATAACGTCCAGATCAAAGCCGGTGATGAATGGAAAGCTGCCTTCATAATTAACTGAGGATTATACGAACCCTTGGTGATGTTCTTTGGCCTCACCAATTCCCCCGCGACCTTCCAGGCGATGATGAACGAGATCTTCCATGATCTCATTGTCGGTGGCAAGGTCCTCGTGTACCTGGATGATATACTCATCTTCTTCACCAACAAGGAGGAACATGAGAAGGTCATGCACGAGGTTCTTCATCGCCTTCAGGAGAACAATCTGTTCCTGAAGCCTGAGAAGTGCGAATGGGATGTTCCCAAGGTCGACTACGTCGGCTATGTGTTCGGTGGCGATGAGGTAGTGATGGATCCTGCGAAGCTTAAAGGAATTAATGAGTGGCCGGTACCCTGGAACAAAAAAGATGTCCAGAAGTTCCGGGGGTTCTCCAACTTCTACCACCACTTCATTAAGGACTTCGCTAAGATCTCGCAACCACTCGACTGACTCACAGGGAACGACCCATGGCATTGGGGTGACGAAGAGCAGCAGGCCTTCGAGGAGTTAAAGCGGCTCTTCGCCACAACCCCGGTCTTAGCACTGTACGACCCTAATCGGGAAACACACATCAAAGTCGACGCTTCAGGGTATGCCACTGGTGGTGTGCTGATGCAGAAACAGGACAATGGCAAATGGCACCCAGTCGTGTTCAGGTCTCACGCCATGGACCCGGCCCAGCATAATTATGAGATTTACAACAAGGAGATGCTCGCGATCATCGAAGCATTGGATGATTGGCGCCACTATCTTGAGGGCTTACCCAACCAGTTCGAGATTGTGACTGACCATAAGAACCTTGAGTACTGGCGCACGTCACAGCACCTCATGCGTCATCAAGCACGATGGTCGCTGTTCCTGGCTCGCTTCGATTTCCATATCACGCATAAAGCCGGAACATCGAATGGAAAGGCTGATGCCCTGTCACGCCGATCAGACCATCAGGTCAGCGATGAGGATGACAACACCGATCAGATTGTCCTCAAACAGGAACACTTCTGCATCGCTTCCACTCGGCGGGGTCATGCCTCGGTGGTAGCCGATCAGTCGCTCCTGAAACACATCAGGGAGTGCTCAGAGAAGGACCGGGCAGTGGCCGAAGCACTTGAGAAGGTGCAGAACCTCGGGCCGCCTCAGATGCAGAAGGGCTATGAAGAGTGGAATGCCGAACAAGGACTTCTGTTGTTCTGCGGATGTGTATATATCCCAAAGAATGCAGAGCTCCGGTGGGATATTGTCAAGATCCACCACGACTCACCGATCGCTGGTCATGGCGGTCATGCCAAAACCCTGGAGCTCGTGTCGCGGAATTACTGGTGGCCAGGAATGTCCAAATTTGTCAATGAGTATGTAAGCACCTGTGATGTGTGCAATCATACCAAGACATTTCCAGCCAAGCCCCAGGGTCTGTGTTGCGACTTGGGGTCAAGCGACAAGGACAAACAAACACGAAGGCTGGGGGCATTCAACTGGGTCTCACTGAAGCGATGGTGAGCAGCGCTCAAACCTAAGGCTAGGGACAAGAAATGTATTAGTTAGTTAAGTAAGAAAAGGAATACATGAGAGGCTTACTGACCTAGGGACAAGAGGTCGAAACTGAGGTCCCTAGGGCAGCAGAGGCCAGCTTATATACAGGGGGAGATAAGGGCAGGCTGTGCGTGTTGGTCCGTGCGCAGCTGGTCCGTGCACAGCATGCTGATGCAGCCCCGGGGGCCGGTGAGTCAGAGCGGCTGTGTCAGTGGAGCCCGAGCTGTGCCGTGCACTGCCGCCCGAGCTGTGCCGTGCACTGCCGCCCATCTAATCTGATCGTACAGTAGATAAGGAAATGTCCGTTTCAGGTGTATAGTACAGAGGTCGCGGGTTCGAGCCCGCGAAAAGGAAAAAATTAAAAAGACGGCTAGGTGCCGTGTCAACTCATGACAGTCCGCTAAAGCCGAACAAGATCCCTGAACACCCATGGCAGATCATCACCACCGATATGATTGTTGGCCTGCCGAAGTCTGATGGATTCGACTCGATCCTCATTACTGCCGACCACTTTACCAAGCAGGTCCACTTCTCAGCCTGTCATGAGACCCTGATGGCAGAAGGTGCGGCTGACCTGTACATCTGTGATGTGTTCAAACATCATGGGGCCCCAGCCAAGGTTATATCAGACCAAGGTCCCCAATTTGCATCAAAGTACCTCCATGCAGTGTACAAGGAGGCACCAGTCTTTGTGCTGGGGAACAAGGTCTGGCTTGATTCCCGGAACCTTAAGCTGAAACAACCAAGCAAGAAGCTCAGTCCCAAGTGCCTCGGGCCATATACTGTGTGGCAAAAGCTCGGAGACTTAGATTATGAGTTGGTTCTGCCGAAATCGGTGTCTGTGCACCCAGTGTTCCATGTCTCCCTGCTTAGCAAGTACATGCATAGCGAGATCCCGGGCCGAGAGCCGGAGGAGCTGCCTGCCATTGAGGTCGAGGGTGATGAGGAATACGAGGTTGAGTGGATCAAAGATTCGAGGATCTTCCAGTGTCAGCTGCAGTACCTTGTCAAGTGGAAGGGTTATGACGACTCGCATACATCATGGGAACCAGCGCGCAACATTGCAAATGCACCAGCCCTCATAGCCAACTTCCACTGGAAAAACCCAAATGCCCCTCGCCACCTCAATGCCACTGCCTTTGGTGGTCTCAACTTCCAGCCAATGCCTTCGCTGCTGACTAAAGCATGCTGCTGATCCAGGTGGGAGATGGGTAAGGGTGCCTCACATGAGGTCATGCGCCGTTGAGGGGGGGGGTAATGTCACGAGTTGGTATGGCATCTAGCTGTTTTTTTTCCCTTGACATGGGCTTGAACCCGCAACCACTGTACTATACACTTGAACGGACATGATGTTATTGTTGGAACAATGGTGCGAACGGTGCGGGGCGCGTTTGTCCACAGGCATAGTGATGCCCGTAAGGGACAATCATGTGCAGTACATACATGGTGCATGGTCATTATATACTATGATAGGGGCCTCCGGCCCCCGGCTACTTGCGCACCTGAGCTTGCAAGCTCATTCCTAACCACGTGGGTTGGCATGTTTCAACAGTTATCTACTATACAATTAGATTAGATGGGCAGCAGTGCATGGCACAGCTTGGGCCCCACTGACACAGCCACTCTGACTCACCGGCCCCCGGGGCTGCATCAGCATGCTGTGCACGGACCAGCTGCGCACGGACCAACACGCACAGCCTGCCCTTATCTCCCCCTGTATATAAGCCGGCCTCTGCTGCCCTAGAGACCTCAGTTTTGACCTTTTGTCTCTAGGTCAGTAAGCATCCCTTTGTATTCCTTTCTTACTTAACTAATATATTATCTTGTCCCTAGCCTTAGGTTTGAGCTTTGCTCACCATCGCTTTGGTGAGATCCAGTCGAATGCCCCCAGCCTTTGTTGTTCCCTGTCGCTTGACCTCAAATCGCGACAGTAGCTCCAGCTGATGTTGAAACATGCAGCCCCGCGTGGTCAGGAACGAGCTCGAAAGCTCGGGCGCACGAGTAGCTGGGGGCCGGAAGCCCCTATTGTAGTATATAATGACCCCGCGCAATGTACGTACTGCACGTGATTGTCCCTTACGGGCATCACTTTGCCCATGGACAAACACACCCCGCGCCGTTCGCACCGTTGTTCCAACAGCTGACTCTTCCCAGAATGAATACACTACTTGCCTTTTTAATCTTTGCCCTTTCTCTGCTAATAGGCTTTCCGAGTCCTGGTATAACTCAAAGCCCCATAAAACTTCTCTTGCTCGGTAAGCAAACTGTAAATTTTACCTACTCTCACAGTACTTAATGAGCTCGTCTGTACTGCGTTCAGTAGCGTACTTCGGAACCCAATCACAGACTTATAACTTGTCTGGCCCATGGTGCGAACTCTCCCTAGTGTGCCGCCACCGAGATTCCTCTTAAGGAATGTGAGTGTCACAGGTAACGTCATGTCACGATCATGTTGATGATAATGATGACTTCAGCATTTATATACCGCTACAAGCAAACACAATGGTGCTAAGACGCGGTGGGCTCTGCCGGATGGCAGTGCCCCTGTCGTGGTGGTGCCTACAGGGTAAGGAAGGAAGATGATGTAGTAATTTACGGATTTCGGTGTAATAGGCAACGGTGTGGGGCAGCATAGGGTGTCAATGTAGAGAGCGAGTCCGTGGGTGACAATGACACAAGAAAAAGTTCACATCCTCCGCTACCCTCGGTCGCTTCCTCCGGCGGTCTACCTGTCTTGAAGTCCTGGAACCACCAGCGCACCGGGCTCGTCGTGTCAGTCGCAACGAGGGAATTCCGGGTTTTGCTGTCAAGCATTCTCGAGGCCTGTGGAGGTGGCGGGTGATGGTGTTAGTGGGAAATGAACCCGGCAAGGGCCTTGCCGTGGATTTCGAGGTGCTGTCTTCACAGATAGCGAGCGCAACGGCTGGACATGGCTAGAGACCGGCCGACGGTGAGCCTCAGATGGCGGTGGGATGGCATCAATGGGATGGATGCATCGCGACTCGGTCGGATGCAACCGTGGCGACGGGATTCAGTGTTCTGGCCGGCTCGACATTGCGAGACGACGGGCGGCGGCTGCGATGGGGAGCTGTCGACTTGAGGAACCAAGGCAAGAGCGAGAGTGCATTGAAGACTCTCTGTGCGGTGCCTGGTATCCTTCCTTGGCCCAGCAAGAAAGCGTGGGAAAACTCGACCAGGTGGTGGTACGAGTCCAAGGAGCTCCTATGTCACGATCATGTATGTGAGCGTGTTAGTCGTATTTAGCGCCCGCATTAGGTCACAGAGCGCTTTGAGTAGTTGATACTGATACTTGTTGTCGTCCGCACAACTTACAATCCTTATCTTGGCAGATGACGGTTGCTCCCATGGCACGTCATGCAGAACCTGTACAGCCTCCCGCTGCCGGAGGCCAACCGCGCACAATGACAACGTGCAAGGAGGTAAAAAACCGAGCGGCAAGAAGAATACAGCCTTGATCGCTCATCCGTCTCCGCAATCAAGCAATCCAACGTTGGCTCTCCCAATCGCTTATTGACGTCGTTATGTCCCTCGCAGAGCCACCTGCTTGGTGAAACTCTCCCACTCACATCTAGTGTATGGTCGAGTCCAAATGAGAAGTGCAATGCAAGCACGGATACAGGATCGGTAGTGAGCGCAAGAGGCTGAGCATATTCGTGCGTTGGTTAATATGCGGGTGTCGTGTGCGGGAATGTCCACGTCGCACGACTTGGTTATTTGAGATCTGGAGGGCAATGTTCTGGGCGAGCGTCGATGCAGGGTACGACACAAAGCCCTTTCATCGCTGCTGTGACTTATGATATAGAAAGTGAGGCTCGTTTCCCATTGATACCTTTCTTCAACACTAACAAAAACAGGCAACCTGTTACTATTGCTTTCGTTACTCGTCCCTTCACCATTCAATCATAGAATAACCACAACTTCGCCTGAACTACTCTCTGGCTGAAAGCCTAAAACCACCTGCCATGTGCATAACCGATCGAACTAAGTGCAAAAGACTCCTGGAGAGTTGCATTGAAACAGTGGTTGAATATTTAAGTAGTGAGTCGGTGGCTCGCGAAGCATGTCAACTGGAGGGTTCACCCAAGATCTATGCATTCCTGCGCAGACGACTGCAGTCCAGGATCGCTAGAAAGACGAGATATACCATTCGTCCGCTTCACTGTCGACGACCTCGTTGCCTATGTAACAGTGTCACGACAAAGGTCTAATCACTGAAGATAACACAGAATACGGACCAAAAACGGCTGAAACACAAAGGCGAGGTGCGTCAGCGCTGGATACCAGATAGATCTCGAAGAGTACTGACCTGCAGTCGGTTTCGGCAGCGCCGCCACACTGAGGATGGTCAAGGGAAGAAGAGCCACAAGGAGACGAACAAATTGCATGTTTGCGCTGCGTGGGGTGTGTGAGATGGTTTGTTGATGTTGGAGTGCCGCAGAGACAGCACGGCTTATAACTACTTCAGTACCAACCTCTGGGGCAACATTCCCAAACGTTTCGGGATATCCCTTAGATGTTCCATGTAGCTCAGAAGTAATCTGAGTCCCCAATGGAAATACTGTGTGAGTAGTGATTCCTCAAATTTGTGAGTCTTGACGAACTTTGCCGTTGCAATGCTCTGTTCGGCCCGTTGTTCACGGGCAGTATGCTCACTATAAGATCCCCGGACTCCACGGGTGTCTATAACCAGCTAAGAAACACCTATGATAAATGATCTATCAGAACGTTTCGGACATTTTGGCAATTAACGTTATATCTAACGGCACAAGTTCACACTTGCGATACGTAATGATTCTTCATGGCGAGCGTCAGGTCGATTGAGGGAGGACGTGTCGTAGAGTCTCATTGACAGTAATGACACCAACGGCGATGTCGGGGTCGTACAATTTGACAGTGTCTTGATCTCATGGTACATTTGTGTAATGTTATGTCAGGTGAGTGGCTTCGCTCAGCTAAAAATATATCTGCTGCCTTCCTGACTTACTCGTTGTGATCAGAAGAAATGTCCGTCTCTGGTAAGATGCCTCATCGACGACCATTTTCCTATCCAGGGACAATGCACAGACTTCGCAGGCGTCCCGCAAGCGTCGGGACTTAATGTCAAGGGGCGGCTTCTGACGCCTTAGGTTGTTCTTTGGTCCTTGTAGCTATTGTGAGAGACATCGGCTGAGGTACACTATACCGATTGCAGTGACGTTTCACGAGCACAAATCCTTCACTTCCCCCCGCTCGTGTCACCGCATTCCCCGAGCCATGTCAGGCTCCACCAGCACATACCAACTCCTACTAGATGGCAAGGAGGATGACTCGACTAGCCACTTGCTGACCCAATCAGAGACTGACGTGGACGACGACTCTCTCCAAGGAGAGCATCTGTACCGCAGGCGAAGATGGGCCAAGTTCCTTCCTTGGGTCGTGCACGCCGTACTCATATCCATCTCGACGAGTCTCTTTCTTCTGTCTCTTCGGAGGCCATCTGATTCGCAGTGCGCAAGATTACTGTCTGCATACTGTATGTGATGTCATGGCATGTCGAACTTTTGGAGACTGACACCCGTTGCAGCACCTCTGATTGAGTCCGTTGAGTATCATGATGTAAAGTTCAACGGGACCCTGTTCAACCCTTCCGTGTACATGGGCAAGCCGTCTCTAGATCTCGATGCTGCCTGGGACGCAATAGTCCATCGCTGTTCGTCATGATGATGGTTCTACAGTTCCTGACCACGACTGAGATATTGCCTTACAGCGAGGCCGACAAGAATCACCAGTGAAATGTTGAAGAAACTTCACAAAGAAGAGCGTCCATCGCTGATCAAATTCATGGACGTGGACGGTGGAGGCTATATGGGCACGCTTGACTTCACTCATCAGCTTCATTGTTTGGTGTGTTCCCTTCCTGAAGTTTGGTACGAATCACAAGACTTACACCTCTCATAGAATGTCTTACGCAAGCATACCTACTACGAGTATTACAAGGATACCGAATCGGCAATCCTAGAGGGGCCTCAGGCTTATCGAACCCATTTAGGTGAATTATCGTCGGTAACCCGTACTCGATACTTGCTGATGTTTTCGCCCTCTAGACCATTGCGTGGATATGTTACGGCAGCATATCTTGTGCAATGCAGATGTAGGGCTGGTGACTAATGATTGGGTCAAAGGACACAAGACACCGTATCCGGATTTCTCAAATTGGCACAGGTGCAGGGATGTTGAAAAGATCTGGGAGTGGAACGAGAAGTATGCGGTGCATATTCCATGGGAACGGCTCACTAGATTCGGAGACGAAGTGGACTTAGAACAACCTGACGGTGCAATTGTCTCATAGTCTCCAGGTAGCATGTGTTGCGGATATACTGTGTAGGCAAATGACGATTCAGGTAATTATGTGACACTCATGGACAATTCTAGTGAGTGCCTACCCGCAACCCCACATTGTCAAGGTCCCACGTTACTGCGATAGAACTGACAATACACGAAAATGAATCCTCAGCTAAGTCGCATGCAGGCATGTCATTTGTTCGCGAAAGACCCCGTCAAGTACATTCTCAAATCCGCATCGTCATTGTTGCAGTACTCCAGCCAACTTCAATACTTTACGATTCTCCCCACTAGCTAGAACAAGGACTCAGGAGCCACTAGGGGAATTTGAGTCCGAGAACCCATGCTTATTGTCTTGTCCACCTCCAACCATGTGCGGTAGCAATAGTGTAGGGCCAGTAGTGTCGGGCGGACCGCGCCAGTCTATTCTGATGCCGCCCAAAGTTGTCAAAGCTGCAAGCCATCCATCAGCGCAGCATAACAGCCACTTGGATCCTTCTGTAAGGCATTCTGCTCGCTGTGGTACGTCATCATCAATCTCGCAGTCTGAACGTTGCAACGAATGCAGACTGACCTACCGGAGACTCAGACTGTGAGGTCGATGATGACTGGTATCGGACGCGGATCGGACGCGGAGAACCGGTGTAAGCGGCCTTTGTAGTGACGCTGGCGATCCTCATCGACGGAAGGAGTGTCGCTTGGTCCAGAATGCTCGTACTGATCCACCCCTGCTCAGCGAACAGCTGGATGACTTCAATCATCCAGTATCTATAATTCCACTCAGGGAACTTCGGCACAGGGCCTTTGCCAGAGATGACCTTCGCGTGAATGTCGTCAGCACATCAGTCCATTCTCTGATTCAAGGCTTGTGTGCACCTCCCGGAGCGCCTTAATCCGGCTGTACTTGACACTGCCAATTGAGATGCCGCCCAAACACTTCCGCATTTTGAGCAGCGAGATGTCTCGATCGAACAAGTGCCATTGCACTCCCCGGCTGTCACTGTAGTGGCGGTCGAATACCTGGAAACATGGAAGATCCTGATCGAGCCTCTCCGTTTGCACCACTATGGCCCAGTGGAGGTGCTCCTCCGTCCCTACTCTGTAGTCAGCTCGTTCATACTGGACCACAGCGATCTTACACTGTATGTCCATAGGAAAAGCTAAAATGCTGGCTATGGTGATGGGTGTCGACGGCAAGTTGTAGCGTCGTGCATCGTGGAGACCCTCGCAAGCTATAGACCAACAATAGAACATATGTACATTGTTTTCAAGTCGTGCCGGCGTACTTTCCGAGAATGCCCGTGCAGGTAATCAGTTCAGTGATCAACGGTTGCCAATGCTAGTGCTGGAGATAAACCAGGGTAAAGGCCTAGATCCTCATTGCTACGTGTCATCTTCCGTATCCATGATTACATAACACCGCACTGTACCTACCAGGCAGTCGGCAGACTACCGCCAATCTAAGCAGTCCGACTCTTGTTGTGGACATAGACGTCTGAACACGAGTTCTGCGTAGCCGAACGGCGCATTGGAGGGGTACATTATATGTTGCAATCAAAGTCTTAGCCACGTAAAGAATATGAATAAACTGGCAATTCGAAGGTTTAACGTCCACATTTGATAAGCCCGATCGATCAATCCACTACACCCGGTTATTATAGCGCGAAGCTATTTTGCAGTACTGCATGTTGCTGGTGGTAACTTGAATCCTTCAGGTCCGCATGTTCATCAAAACATGTGGGGAATCTCCCGTTCGCTCGTGATCAATCGGTGATTCGTAACATAGAACTCCGATCTAATTTAACTGCTTCCTTTTCTACACATCCCCATTTTTGACCCAACCATGTTGCTAGCAGCTGTCCTAAACATCTACGTCGACGCTCTAGAGTGGTACTACTATTGGAAAGGGACCTTAGCCAGCAGCGTACAGTTTTTGCCCTTCGGCCTTGTTCTCAAAATCCAAAGCGAACTTACCATCGCCCATGAGGGCCACATCATCAACTTCATCCGAAAACACACATCTATTCCTGTTCCCCGTGTCATAGCCGCAACAGCGTGGTATGACCGGAGATTTGTACTCATGAAGAGGGTACACGGCGATAATTTGCAGGCAGTATGGCGTCATCTCGATACCGAGCAGCGCGCAAACATCGTCGAACAGCTACGCTCATTCGTCCTCCAGCTTCGGGCCCTAAAATCTCCCCACGGACAGGCCGTATGCGGTCTGAATGGTGCTGCTACCCTAGACAGCCGCGTATCCTCGCACCCAATTGGACCATTCGCCAACGAAGGCGCATTCAACGACCGTCTCATCGACGCCGCAGAGCCATATTCATGCGAGGAGATCCTTGCAGACGTCCGCTCTCGCATGCGCGACGATCACCGGATTGTGTTCACGCATGCCGACCTTGCACCTCGCAATATCCTCGTACGTGGTGGAACAATTGTGGCTGTGATAGATTGGGAGGAATCTGGGTGGTATCCGGAGCATTGGGAGTTCGTCAGGGCCATGTACTTCCCAATGGCGCATCCACGAGACGAAGCATGGATGCGGGCCATTCGAGATTTCATCCCAGGGGACTACGAGAAAGACTGGCTTGTGGATCGTGAACTATCGGACCGCATGGTTGGCGCATTTTAAGGTAACGTTACCTTCTCATAGTCGTTAATTGTGCGATGCTCACTGCTTGTGATTCGTAGATCAGGCAACGATTCTGTGCGCGAGTTTGTCCTGGAGTGTACAAGCTGTCTTTGGGAACATGCCTTTTTTCTGAGACGACAAGTTTTCCTTAAATGCAGACGTCTGAGATACCATCTGTAATACAGTATTGGCCACACAAGGGAAAACAAAGTAAGGGTAAGGTCGAAATGCAGATGGCATTCTACGCTGTGCCCGCAACTAGGTATCATTCCAAGGTTTAGATGTATATTGTGAAGTCTAGATTTGAGTTGACTCGCCATTGACATCCTCAAGCTCGACAATGACAGGAAGTGCAGTCCTGCTTTCAGCGTACGCACTCGTGGTGGCGACGCTCGCGCGCCGGAGCGAGGGAAGCAGTGTCGATTGGGCAGGAATGTTCGCATAAAGCCATCCTTTTTCGGAGAACAGTTGGATTACTTCCATGACCCAGTCGCGGCAATTCCACTCCGCGGGCCTGTTCGTGGGTGGATTGGTGTAGACAACCTAAGTCATATCAGCATACCCATCTAGTTGTAGTCGAAGTAAGGATATGCACCTCCCGCAACAGCTTCAACTGGCTATGTTTGATGCTACCGATGTAGACGCCGCCAAGGCACTTACGCGTGGTGAACAGCGAAACATCCTGGTCGTACAACACCCACTACTTTCCCCGCTCGTCGTTGAATGTACGATCGTAAGCCTGGAAGCACGGAAACCTCGACCTGATGCCGGGCCTGGAGATGGTCTGTATCACAATGGCCCAGTGGAGCTCCTCCTCCTTCCCTACTCCAAAAACATCCCGCTCATATTGTAGAACGGCAATCTTGCAGTCTTTGTCAACGCCGAGTGCCTTCAAGATGTTATCCATGATGGTGGACGTAGGAGGTGAATTCGGGATCCATCGATCGTGGTACTCGTCTGCATTATATACGTTGGAGAATTCCGAATCATGTGCTAGCTACAGACTCCGGGAATCCACATACACGCGTGTCCAAGAAGTAAGCCTGCAGGTCCGAGCGCACACCACGATCCCGTCGGCCCTCCAGGCTAGTATCCTGGCCCTACGATATTCACGCCAAATTACCCCATACTCGCTGTGTGACTTTGTCTTTTGAACCACACTACATCCATTCACCGTTGACTTTTGCAGGTTTGTTGGAGTCGGTGTGATTCTACCAGAAGCGCAGAAGGCACGTTGTCGTCGCCACTACTGCTCGCACTGTTGACGAGCAACGAGTTGGGCTTGCCGAATATGAGCACTTTTGCGTTTGCATGAGCCTTGCGTGTAGCCTCGGGCTTGCCGAGAGAAGTGTTCAGCATCGATCGTGACGGAAAATAAAAGACGACTGTTTTAAAGGGGTTGAATGCCCTATAATGAGTGAACGAAAGGCGACGCACGGATATGATGAGTACTGGGACAATGAGCGCGCCTCCTCAGACGTCAATGAGTATGCTCTCTCGTCCACGATGTGTCGGATGTAGGTTTTGTCGACTACGGTTCTTTCTGCCCTGCATTGGACATCGACACCAGCCAAGATTTAATTGCATGAGTTTCTCAACATGCTGTAGTGTTGGAATTATGACCGCGTCTGCGGTTCACAGTTCAAAGGGGCTCCGACATGCTAGTCACAACATGTTCGTCGATATTCACAAAATTGCTGAGCGCGAGGGGCATTTCGCACGGAGCCTGCCGTAGATGCCCCCTCCGCTGAAGACAGTGTGAGCCCGAACCGGCGGAAGACTCCGACTCGGTACACACATGATACACCCGCTATGCCAAGCATCATCAACGACGTGAAGGCGGATGAGATCACATTGAGGGCACCTGATTGATAAAAAGATGAAGAAGAGGTTGCAGAGGGACGATGAGGGTTCACCTGCATGTAATGGAACAATAGGTCTCGGTTTCTACCGATATTGTGTCCGTGCATTGTATTCTATTTTGGGTAGGCACAATGGGCATCAAAACGATTGAGCATCCTATCTTGAGAGTGTGTTGTCCACATGTACTCGCCGCTTCTAGGCATCTTCTACACTTGAAGCTTGAGGAGCGCATGTGTATGTTCATAGGGAAGTGGTGAAGCAAGAATATTGGATTAACCGTTCAATGCTCCTGCTGTCGGTTCGATCACGATCGATCGGCAATTTACAATGGAACTCCGATCAAATCTTAAGCACTGGAACGAACTCTGGACTCCGCCTCCACTTTCAGGCTTACCATGTTTCTCGCAGCAATCCTTAACATATATATCTGGATCCGAGCTTGGTGCATCTACATATTTGGGACATCAGAGGCCCGCATAGTCTTCCTGCCCTTTGGTCTTGTTCTCAAAGTCACCACCCAAAATATCGCGCACGAGGGCCATACAATCGAATTTGTCCGCAACCACACCTCTATCCCTGTCCCACGCGTCTTTGTCGCAGCGGAGTGGTGTGGGCGGAAATACCTGCTTATGAAGAAGGTAGAAGGCGATAACTTGGAGTGGGCATGGCAGCATCTCGACGCCGAGCAGCGCTCAAACATCGTTCTTCAGCTGCGCTCCTTCGTCCTTCAGCTTCGTGCTCTCCGGTCTCCTCATGGACCAGCAGTGTGCGGGCTAAATGGTGTCACTTGCATTGACAGCCGCATATCCTCACAACCTGTCGGTCCATTTCCAAACGAAAGCGCATTCAATGACGGTCTCATCGTCGCCGCGAAGCTATACTTATGTGATGAGATTCTTGCAGACATCCGCTCTCGCATGCGCAACGACCACCGCATCGCTTTTACTCATGGCGACCTCGCACCACGCAATATCTTCGTGCGCGGAGGCACAGTTGTGGCGGTCATTGACTGGGAGGAGTCTGGATGGTATCCAGAGCACTGGGAGTTTGTCAAAGCTGTATACTTCCCGTTTTACAAACGGGATGAGGCTTGGCTGCAGGCTATACGAGACTTCATCCCGGAAAACTACGAAAAAGAACGGGTTGTGGGTCGCGAACTATCGGACCGCATGGTTGGCGCGTTCTAAGGTAAGACAACCTTTCAAGTCAGCCGACTTTACAACGCTCGCTGTATCTATCCGGTAGGGTACGCCTTATTTTCCTTGTTTGAAAATCACCTTATACGTATCACGGAGTGTTCGTTCACGTCGATGATCATTCTTTTGCACCCTTTTCAAAGACCTGAGATACTAATTTCACATTAAATGGATCGTACAGGAGAAAAGCACCTTCGAGAGGATCAAGATGTGCTACATTATAACTGAGAACCAATCTTAGGTCACATGTACACTGTGCGTTGTAACATGAGCAGTCTCACTGTAATGTTCCTCAGCCATAGAGATCGACAATGACCTGACCGTATGTTCCAACAGACTCGAGATGCGGAACATCCCGCGCCATGTCGTGAAACTACACGAGCAGCAGAGGCACGTCCCGAGGATCGCGGAAGTTCGTGATTTTCCGCATTTACGAGCGCCTCATGAATGCGTGAGCGGAAATCAGGCGAATACCGGTCAGGTCGGTGGTGTGACCGATTCTCAAGTCGCAGTCCACGAGGTTAGTAGTACGTTGAGTGTTGTTGCCATAAACCCGATCCTAACCGTCGTCAATAGCGTTGATCGGAGGCTGATAAGCGGCACGCGCCATGGCTGGCAGTTGAGTGCAGCTGTTTTCGCATTTAGGTTGCGTTGCTGCCTTGCGGTGCCCATTCGTAATTCCCTGAGGCAATTCAAGCAGCGACTGGGGGTCCGCGCTTATCACGACAGGTGCTCAGCCGCGCAAAGATGCTTCTATTGGATGACCAATCTGTTCCTGCTGTCAAGATACAACAAAAAATCGCGTCAGAAGACTCTATTGAAATGACTTGCAGCGCCGTTCTTAAACATCGGGTTGCGCCAATTTGTTCTTGAGACGCAAAAACCAGCGCTTGTCATGCGCTCAAGTCCCGATTAGGCCCGCGGTCCTCTCTACTTGGTGCTAGCAGCCATGTAGCAATCCTTCTGTGTCTCTCCGAATATGCGAGTCGGTAGGTCAACAATGCGATAGGCTTCATTCCTCTGCGTAGAGCGAAACACGCCGATTTCGCGACTACACTCGTTAATGCGTTCTGCTGTCTACGTTTCGAAGAGGGGCGAGGCCCTCCTTGAAGGCTCAAAAGGTGTACGGCCCACAACTGATGGTTAGAAAGAACTGTAGGCCTCATCGTCACTCATGCGCGTGATATACGCGCTAAGTTTCGCGTTTCAGAAGAATTAGCACCACCCGAGGCTCGGACAGTGTTGTAACCTATCAGCTGAGAAACTGTACGTGATCCCCCCCGCCCCCCGCCCCCCCCCCCCCCCCCCACGCAGCTATTGAATGCTGGCACGCTGAGACGGCGTTGTAGAACAGGCGTGTGCACAAATACTAAAAGGCGTTACAGCTTGACATTCATTGCCTTATCAACCACAGTTGTAGGGCGCTTGGAGACGTAAAAGTGGATGCTTGAAACGGGGTGAGTCCGCCGTTATGTGCAAGTGCCACTTGGAAACATTGCATATTGCGGCAATGTGACTTTATATCCCCGAGTAGCAACACATACCGGACTGCCGAAGCCGAAACTCCTGTCTTCTCGCCGATAACATGAGCCTATATAATGCTAGGGTGTCGTGCAGATGCCTACTAGCGACTCCACCCATCTCAAACCCCAAAGTCCACAATGCAGTTCTTGAAATTCGGCTCTTATCTTGCTATCATCAGCTTTGCTGTCCTCCAGACTGCGGCCATGCCTAAGCCTATGCCTGGTAGGTCTCTATTTTCTGTCGTGACAGTAATTTTGGACGCTGACACACCCCTCCAGTGCCCAACGCAGATGGTCAGTAGAAGTCCTTCAACATGTCCATGTGACTGATCCGCATATGAACAGATGAGTTCCTGCCTGGGGTCAGTTTCAACATGGACAAATACGCCGGCGGTGAGTAATGCACGTTGAATTGTCCTCTAGGTCCTAAAACTCTACTCAGAATGTCGTGGATAAACGAGTTGTAACTTGGCTGATTTGTAATCGATGTACATGATAGTCAAATCATTTGGTCACGTTTGCTGCGTCTTGTATACATGCTGTGCCCATGACACGAGATTTCGCATATGATGTAGCCAGGAAGATTAACAGCGAAATATGTACTAGTAAGCAATAGGCCAGCTCCGCATGACTATTTGTTCCATGATCCCTCATTGGAGTCCGTATATGGCTGGGGCCGCAGGTTCGTGGCTGCCTGAGTTCGATCTGAAAGGCCCCCTACGATAGGACTCTTCACACGTCCCGTTGCCTTGCTTGGTCTCTGCTGCTTGATGCTTGTCAATTAGAATTGAGGTTCATGCATGCTATTCTATCCGCCTTGTTGTCCGGGGGCCGGCGCATAGCTGCTCGCGGCTGTCACTGACGACCGCGAGGCCAGATTTCAACCTGGACAGTAGGCAGCCTGGCGTTCGGAAGGGTTCCGCGACGGGCAATGTGTGGACTCCAGGTCGACCTCGACGACGAAATACACGGGTGACATTTGCATTCCCGACGTGCAGCATATTTGCGGCTCACTATAGTCTCAGGGCTTCCGACGCATGTCGTGTGGCCAGCCCTACACTTGCGGCAGAAGCGTATGTCGGGCATTTACCCACATGGGAGGCCGGCACTGAATCAGGCTTGCAGCCCCTGCCATGCTGATGACTTGGAATCGCGCTGCGCTTACTTACGTTACCTTGATGTGAATCGGCCACCCAACCTGCTTGCTCTACAAGTACTTCATGAAAGCTGGCGAGCTCACGGTCCATGATCCTAGGCGGGGGCCCCGCTCACGTCTTCGAGGCTGTGGTCAGGCCGGTGTATCAACCTCGAGTGCTTGCAAATTGCTCTTCATAATCATGAAGGTGCGCCGAGGACCCATCGATTGGCGCACTCAACTGCATCATATACACCGCAACCCCCGAGATGATGTGCTACCTACAGACCCCGAAAGCCCACACACACGCGTGTCCTCGCGCTGCAGCGATCCCACAGGGGCCGCAGGGGCCAGGCTCGTCTCCGTCAGCCCCCCGCGCGCGCACCCAGAGTCCACGGCGCTCGCATCAGAATGCGCCACACTTGTGCGGCGTTCACGCCAGAGTGCGCCACACTTGCGCGGCAACCGCGCGCATCGTGTCGCGCCACTCCCGCGCGCCGCCCGCGTCCGCGTTGACGTCGCCGAGCAGCGCGAACGGCACGCCGCGGTCGCTGCCCGCGCTCACGCCGGGGACGAGCGGGAGCTCGCCGAGCACGGGCACGCCCGCGCGCGCAGCGACCGCGCGGAACGCCTCGGGCGGGCCGAACAGCGCGTGTGGCGTCGTGCACGTGGGGCAGATGAAGTGCGCCTGGTTCAGCAGGAGGCCGGTGATCTGCAGGCAGCAGTCAGCGGTGAGGCGGGACAGTGAGAGGAGGGAGACGGGCACGCACGGGCACGGACAATTTTTGGAACATGGCGACGCCCTTGCGCACGTCGGCGAGCGCGACGTCCTGCGGGGTGGACACGATGACGGCGCCTGCAGCCGCGGCGGGGGACGAGTCAGTGTAAGTGCCAGTGGTGCGCCGGTATGCGCGCAGAAGCGGGGCGCGCACCGTCGACGTTGACGAGCTGGCCGAGCGTGAGCGGCACGTCGCCCGTGCCGGGCGGCATGTCCAGCACGAGGACGTCGAGGCCGGGGCCGCTGCCTGCTCCGTCGCCGCTGCCGCTGCGCCAGTCGACGTCAAACAGGAGCTGCTGCACGGCCTTCTGGACCATCAGCCCGCGCCAGACGACGGGCGTGTCGGCGCTGCTGCCGGACGCGGGCGCGCGCGGGAGGAGGAAGCCCATGGACATGCACGGCAGGCCGTGGTTCACGAGGGGGACGAGCGCGCCGGCTGCGGCAGCGCGGGCGGGCGGGCAGGTGTGGGTGCGAATGAGTGTGTGAACGGGGACGCGTGCGGGGAGGGGGACGGGGACGGACCTGGGGTGAGGCGCGGCTCATCGGCGGCGGCGAGGCCCATGAGCGTGGGGACGGACGGGCCGAAGACGTCGAGGTCGAGGATGCCGACGCGCGGGCGGGCGTCCGGGCGCGCGGGGTCGCGGTGCATGGCGAGCGCGAAGGCGAGGTTCACTGGTGTGCCGCGCGTCAGCTCTGCGAGTGCGCAAGGGTGCCACGGCCGGGACGCTGCGCCGCGAGGGCATGCATGAAGCCGTCCGAGAGGCTGCACTGGGAGGGGGAGCGCGGTCATGGCGTGCGAGCAAGCGTGCGCGCGCCCTCGGTGTACGCCGGTGTGCTCGGCAGAGCCCTGCTTACCCGCGCGGGGATACAGCGCCCAGCGTTCGCCGGCCACCACGCTTGCCTCGCGATGTGCCACACCAGAAACTATGGCTGCCGCCGGTCTTCGGCGCCATGAAAAGCTCGCCCACACGTCTCACCCCGACATCCCTCTCTCTCACAGTGACGCCGCCGACTCAACATACAGTCGCTCGCACGATCGATTCAGCGGCATTACGTTGCGCGCGTACCCCTGGGGAAGCTTGCGCCACCTGCACACCCGTCGGCGTTAGACGTGCATGACGACGGTGCAAGCTCATACAGTGGCGGGCAGTATGCCCGGGCGGCGGGCCGGGACATGGCTGTTGGACCAAGTACGTTGGCACGAGAGCCAATCTACAGCCATTATGGAAGCGCCTGCACCGGCGACAAGGCCGCATAGCGCGCGGTACGGACTTTCTATGTGCTCAGCTGCGCAAGTGAACGGGGGGCAATCAGCCACGAACAGTGCCTAGATATACGGCGAAGCGTAGTGAATCTCTTCAGGGGTCTAGGCATCGTTGGTTGAAGGCCCCGGACGTGGACTGTGCGCGCCCCTTCTCGCAATATCCGGAGCTCCGAGCCGTAAATACACTTCGGGCCGTGTTCGCTAAGTATTCGGACTGCGAACGGGTGCTGCAGGGCCGACAGCCACGGGCACGCGGGATGCGACACCAGATCGGACATGCAGCATGGCTTGCAGCCGCAAAGACACGAATATGTATCGGATGGGCAAAGATGGTGCCGCGGCGCTCCACGCAGGATACAGGTCAGGGGAAGGCAGCGTTGACAGCGCGCGCGCGTGGCGAGACAGACGTGACACAGAGCAAGAGAGGAGAGCGGCGGGACCGGGCGCAGCACACACGTGTACAGCCCCGGACGCAAACGAAGCGCGACCCCAGACCAGCCAGCATGTACGGCCGCTGCTGCAGACTCGTGCGCGGGCAGGAGGAGGCGGGACGCGGGGAAGACGGACCTGCGACGGTGCTCTTGCCGACGCCGCCCTTGCCGCTGGCGACGGCGAGGACCCTGGCGACGTGCGGGATGGCGCGCTTCTGCGGGGGGCCGCCCCTGCGGGGCATCTGCGGCGCGGGGCTGTGGTCGCGACGCGGGAGGCCCTGGGGGATGCGGTGAGCGGCGAGCGGCGCGTGGGAGGGTGTGCACACGGGGCTCACCAGGGGGTTGTCATGTGCGCGCACAGAGGACGTCGCGAGGCGGCGGCGGAGGGCGGCGGCGGGGACGAGCATGGTGAGCAGGAGCAGGAGCAGAAGGAGGGACGCCAGCGCGGGGATTGCCGAGGGATGCAGCGCGCGCTTCTTCTGCTCCGCCCCACGCGGCGCCCACCGCCGTTCGCGCCCTCATTCGCACCCGTGACCGGCCCTCGTCGACCCCAAGATGCCGACGCTGACCGGTGACCGAATGTGCCTCGCAGCTGCCGGCGTGTCATCTTGTTCGCCAGGTGTAGGTGTAGACGCGCCGCGCCGATCCGTCTGCGCGCCCACGTCCCCAGCGCGCCCCAGACTCCCAGCGCGCAGGGATGGTTAGGTGCCTCAGTATGCAGTGAGCACCGCACCCGCCCTGAATGCACGCGATGTTCGTCTTCGCGTCCCTGCGCGCGCGGACGCTCAAGCTCAAGTTCAAGTCGGCTCACCACGCTCCTCAGCCGCACCAGCCAGACTTGAGGGAGGTGCGGCGCGCGGTACGGCGTACGCATCTGTCGCGGCGCGCTCGGGCGAACAGACATCGGACATGCAACCGTGTTCGACGTGCAACGTTCAATGCTCAACGTTCAACGCTCAGCTGGTGCTCGGCCTCCGCGGACAGGAGATGTAAGCAGAGCTCCCCAGCAACTTTGCAGGACGATGGTAGTATGCCACCACGGCGGCAGTGCGACAACGCAATACACAATACACAGGGATGAGCCAGAGACATGAAATAAGGCTGATGCAGAGTTCCGCTTCTAGCCCTCCGTGCCGCCCCACTAGCACAGACATGCCGATTCTGCGCATCCTCTCGCAGGCCCCGCAAATCCTTCACCGACCGAGCAGCGTGTTCCACCGTCCTGGCCCTTGTCATGCTCATGCTGGCGCCAGCACCAGCAGATGATGGATGCAGCAGATCGCTGTCACAAGGCGGTTATGAACGCAGCAAGCTGCCCGCACCAGAAGGGGCTGGGTCAGCGGAACGCTGCCACAATGAGGCGGAACATCACACCTCGTCGGACGGCGGTCTGTCGCATTCATTGCCTGCTCGTGCCGTTGGCTAGGCACTGCTATCGCCTCGTTATTCCAGCAACCGCTGGCATGCTCGGCACAAGGGCTGCTTGGTCGGCGGATTCCTGAAGTGCACCGGCTATAGCCTGGCCATACTTGCACGATTGTCCTTTCGAAAGGGGCAGCGGTTGATGAAGACGGTGACTCGGCATGGCAAAGTCGGGCTGGTGGATGTGTTGGGGTTAGGGTGATTAGGGCAGTCTCGTATGGGAGTCGACAAATTCTGTCCTCGCGGTGCAAGTAGCCAATGCGGGCCCTGCAGCGTTCATGTACAATTTTCTCTCGATATTCGGATCGCCTGTTGTGGCATATAAATTCAGCGATCCCGATGTTCGGATGCGAGTTGTATTTCCTGCAGCGCGTTGGATGATGTGCGGACCGTATTCGCAGGGGCGCCAAGGCGGGGATTGCCGAGGGCAGCGGCGGTTGCTGGGAGAGCGGCTGCTGATGTTCTCCTCCTCCTACGACCACCCGCGCGCCGTTGCCCACCTCTCCTTGCGCCCACGCTCCTTCTGCCACGCCCTGCCCGTCATGTTTGCCCGCAACGCCGCCGCAGCCCTCCTCGCCCTCCCCTTCCTGGCCCACGGTGCGTCCCCCCCGCCCTTCCGGCCCTGCGCCGTCCCTGACGCCGTGTTTTTCTTTTCTCCCCCGCAGCCACGTACGCGCAGACCTGCGCGCGCTCCTACACCGTGCAGGAGGGCGACATCTGCAACAGCATCTCTGCCGCGCACAACGTCTCCACGTGCGTCCGCCCGCGCCCCCGCTGACCGCTAACCGCTAACCCTCTCCCCCCCGCAGCTACCAGCTCGCCGCCGTCAACGCCGCGATCAACGCCGACTGCAGCAACCTCACGCCCGGCGAGACCCTCTGCCTCGGGTACGCCGGCTCCGATTGCACCACGACGTACGTCGTCGCGCTCGGCGACGACTGCGACAGCGTCGCGCAGGCGCACAGCCTCAACACCACCGTGCTCTATGAGAACAACCCGCAGATCGATGCGTCGTGCGAGAATCTCTATGTCGGCGAGGTGAGTTGCGCTTTCCTTGCTGGCGGTGCGCAGCGCGCGGCTTCTAGTACCGAGCACAGCGGGATTTTTTAAAAAACTGCATGGGCGCTAGTGCTATAGGTGCCTCGTTTACGTCTGCAAACGCTGAACGGATGGGGCACGGGAGCTCGGGTGTCCGTGCGCGGGCCCTGTCTTTGCGCCGTGCAGCTGTGTGAACGTCTTGAGGGAAAACTATTGACTGGGCTGTCTCCCGGGGCCAACACACACCCCGGGACGGTGGACACAACAGAGGAGTACCGTAATAGGCATGTAGGCCGGATCCGGTTCTAGGCTTACTCGCTTTGCACCGCCGCACTGTTCCATGTTGTATCCCAGCTGATCTGACCTCGCACAGGTTCTCTGCGTAGCGAACGACGCCGAGGTCCCCATATCGGGGTCCATCACCGCCTCGATCGCGACCGCGATCCCCACGACCGCGACGCTCGCCAACGCGACGGCAACTGCGACACCCTCGATCACGGTCGTCAGCACCGCGGTGCCGTCTGCGTCCGCGAGTGCGAGCAGCACCGGCGACGACAGCGGGGACGACGGTGACGACGGTGATGATGGCGACCTGCCGTGGTGCGACGAGCTCTAAGCGCGTCCCGCCCTCGCTCTCGCATGCCCAAGTGCGGCACCGCATAGCACCTCTCACGCACGCTCTTACCGTCTGCTTTACCTCTCCTCGTAATCTCCGGTCGGTCTTGTTTCTCGCATAGGTCGCACGCTCTCCAGCAGTAGCCCGCACGCCCGCGCATTCGTGTTCCGCCCCTTTACGCTTACGCTCTATACCTCTCACCCGATCCCCCGGCCGCACCGGCGGGGCGTCGATGAATTGTGTCGCCCTGTGGGCCTCGACTGATTATATATATGCACCGCGCCCTTGACGGCCGCGTTTAAATCTTAAACCGTGTGCGTGTGGGAACCCTCGCGCTGTGATCGGCCCGTGTGACTGCCGCATACGTCACGGACGCGAGGCAAGGCGCCTCTAGTGCCTTCGCCTACGCGTCCCGCCGCTAGTATAAGTATCAGCACAGCGCCCCCCGACGCCGACGAGCTGCTCGTCGCCCGCGCCCGCACAGTCCACACCACGATCACGACCATGACCATGATGCACGCCGTCCGCCCTGCTGCTGCCGTGCGCCGCTGCACCCGCGCGCTCGCGCTCGCGCACGGTGCAGACGTCCCACAGCCGCTGCCGCCGCCGTCGCCGCCGAACCCACACCTGTATGCGCCCGCCGCGTTCGCGTGTCCGACGCCTCCGCGCCTCGGGCCCGCGCGCAGGGACGCGGCGAACGCGCCCAGCGGGAACGAGTCTCGGTCTAGCGGGAACGAGCCTGACGAGCTCAAGTCTAGCGAGAACGGGAACGGGAACGGGAACGGGAACGGGAACGGGAACGGCAGCGGCAGCGGCGACATCTCCGACCAGGAGTGGGAGATCCGCACAGGTGCGTCCGCGCCCCCGCGGCCGCGCGCGCCGTAGAGGCTCTGATGCTACCCGCAGGCCGCCGCCTCGCGTGAACGTGAACGTCCTCCCGCCTCCTCTCGTGAACGCCCCTCGCCCCTCGCCTCCCGCCCCCGCCGCGCACACCATCCGCCATCCGCCGCCCGCCGTCCGATCCGAGCAGGCCGCGCGATCTACATCCTCCAGCAGACCCTCCCCGGCTTCTTCCACACGGGGCTCGTCGCCTCGCTCGCGGAGGACGACAACAGCGCCCGTACCGGCGGCGGCGGCGGCGAGGCGCAGGGCATATATAGCCCGCGCGTGCGCCTCGCGTACACTCCGCCCACTGCGCTCCCGCCGCCCTTCCCGCGCACGCTGCACGTCGAGGGTGCGTACTCGTCCGTCCGTGCGCCCGCGCTTTCTCGTTCCTTGTTTGTAGTTTGTCGTTTGTAGTTTGTCGTTTGTAGTGTATCGTTCATAATCTGTCGTTTATCGTTCATAGTTTGTCATTTGTCGTCTCCCGTTTGTCGGTTCCTGTTCCTCGTTTCCGTTTTACATTTCCGCACCCACCACGCAGCGCTGACTCCTCCCCCGCCCGCCCGCCCACAGGCCTCCCGCTGTACATGGCGTCCTCCGCGTTCGTGCGCCACACGCTCAACGCGCTCTACACCGACCTCCACGTCGAGCTCCGCCGCGTGCGCGTGCACGGCCCGCGCACCGGCACGCCCGCGCCAGGTGCGTCGCCCCCCGCTAGATTCCCCGCGCCCGCCGCCCGCGCTGACTGACTGGCGCGCCAGGCCCAGGCCCAGGCCCGACCTGGAGCGACGCGGACAACCGGCGCCCGCGCCGCACCACGCGCGACAAGAGCCTCTTCGTCGGGCTCGCCGTCTCGGGCGTCGCGCGCGTCAGCGGCGCGCGGGGCGGCTGGGAGGTGTACGTGCGCTTCCACTCTCCCCCCCCTTCTCCCTGCTCTGTCTTGTCTGCTTTCCATGTCTTGACCGCGCGCTGACCAATGTCTTGGCCCCACGCTGGCGCTGCACACAGGCACTCGACGTACGCGTTCTCGCCCGTGTCGGGCCTCATCCACCAGCACACGATCGACTCGATCGAGCCGGCGCCGCACCAGGCCGTGTTCGACGCGCTCCGCGGCGCGCTGTGCAAGCTCGGGCTCGCGGACGGGCCCGGGCGCGAGTCGCCCGGTGCCGCGCGCTCGCAGCCGCACACGCACACGCACGCGAGGCAGGGGTAGGGCAGAGGTCGGGCTGCCGTGCGCGACGGGCGTGTGGAGGGTTTGCGAGACTAGCACGGGCAGTGGTGGTCGGGCGCGTCGTGCGTCGTCGCCGGTGTCTCCAGGACCTACAAAACAAACAGGGATTCGCGAGAGTATTGTCTCTCCTCAATTCGCCTCATCCCCACTCCGTAGTCTGACTGTGGCTGTTTTGCGGCAGCATGTCGATAATTGGTAGCTTCGCCTCCGTGTCACAAGGTGACTTGAACCTCGGACAATCTCACAGCGGAAGCACAGAAACATCACAAGTATTCTTAAAATAGAGACCGTCTCATGAAGGTCATCCTTTAGAAGGAGAAAATGCGTGAAAGGGTCAGCAGTGGTAGCTACAGGTGGAGATCTATCCAGTCATCTGCTATGACTGGAGAACAATCCTTTTGGCCAAGCCTGTGCCCATCCGCTCGAGCTCGCTCAGCACCGCACGCTCGTTCAGCACGACCGCCGACCTGTCCTTGTCTTTCGACTTTTCTTTCGGCTTGCCCGGTTCCTGCGAGACGCCGCGTGAGCCACAGCACTGCCCCACAAGCTGAGTTGGACCTACCCGATGCGCGGGAATGCTCGAGAATCCGCCCAGCACGCGGAATGGCCTCGGTGACTTGAGCGCAGGGTCCCACACGGCACCGTATCGATCACCGCCCAACGGGTCGTGGAACAGCACGAACGTGTCCTTGTATACGCGCTGGATATCAGTTGCATTCATTAGTCAGAGCGGGATCGCGCGCGCAATCACGGAGACGCGCCTTCAGGTCGTCGTACAGCAGCCGCGCGGGGTCGAAGCCGGGCAGCAGCCGTGCGGTCTCGTCGTCGGCACGCGCGTTGGCGTACTTACCCTTCCGCGCCCACACGCTCGCGTCGGCCTGGATGTTCTGGTGATAGCGCGGCAGCACCGCCGGGTCGAGCTCCACGATGAAGTCGTAGTGCTCCGTGGGGTGCGCAAACAATGCCTGTGTGCCCAGCCGTCAGCGGATGCGGGGGATGGGGAGACATGCGGGGACGGCCGCACATACCGCGACGTCGAGCTTCCGGGACTCGATGCCTCCTAGGCACTCCCATGTCGCCTTTGCGAGCGCGCGCACCCTCCGCGCAACGATGGCATCTGGGCTTTTGGCCGTCCACATGTGTCCATCTGGATCGCGCTCTGTGGGGAGCGTCCAAACGCCCGCCTTGGCACCGGCGATGACGCCGGCCGCAGCCCCCGATGATCCTGCCGCATCATCACTGCCATAGAGGGGGACGAACATTGTTGTGCTCCAGTCCCAGTCTTTCAGCAGCTCGATTGCCAGTGCGAACCCGCGCTCTTTGGAACCCGGAACACCAGCCTTGCGATCGGCGACGCCATCTTCGCTTGCGACAGGACTATGTCGCAGAAAGATGCCCGCACAGAGCAGCTCTACGGCCTCCTCGCTGACGTGCCCACGCAGGAGCCAATGCGACGCAAACCACCGCTTCACCAGTCGCACCGTGCCAGAGAACGCGGGGAAGCGGTGGTTCAGCGCGGCCACTGCACGGTGATGCCGCGGTGCGTGGATGAAACGGCGGCGGTACACCTCCTGTGCGTCCAACGCGGCCTGCCGCTCGCGCGGATCGCCCCCGCTCTGGCGCTGGAGGCGCTTGGATATATGCGGCTTGTCGTTGATCGCGCGCTCGAGCAATGTCGCCTCGCGGTCGTGCCATATGCGTGCGTGGAAGGCCCACCCTTCTGCGGTGACGATCTCGAGGGACGCCTGGTCCCGGATTTCTGAGGGCGCTCCGCCGTCGTGGACCGAGACGGCTGCCCGCAGGCCCTTCTGCGTGGCCATGAGCGCCGTCGCGAGCGTCTCGAAGAACGCCAGCTTGATCTTCTGGATCGCGCGCAGGTCGTCCGGCCAGCGTGCGGACTTCTCGAATTCGACGACGATGTGCATCGGCGCGAGGTAGCGGGCGCTCGGTGGAAGCGCAGATGCCAACGATGCGGGCACAGAGACGGGGCTGTGCACGCTTGTGTATCGCAGTGCTTCCGCGACAGGGCTGACGTTCAGGATCGCGAGGGGAAGCTTATCGTCCAGCGCCTTCATCGCCCTGACTAGGTTATCAAAAGCCGTCATAGCGGCCTTGAACCCAGCGGGTACACCGGCCGTCTGGTAGATGGCAGAGACAGACTCCGGTAACCGAAGCACGGAGTCGAACTGGCCCTGCCATGCATGGATTGCGTCGTCGGCGATACCGCAGTGGCGCTTGAGGACATGCCGCACGATGAATGTCGGGATCTGTGCGCGTTCATCCTGATTGCCGACAGCCCATACAACACTCTCCACGATGCTGCCGTCCTTGAAGCGACGAAGTTCCGCCTTGTCGCCCCAGAAGTCCTTAAACTGTCGTGCAGCCTCGCTTTCCTGCTCGGCCGCGGCAGGGCCATGGTCGACGAGCCGGAAAGCATGCTCCGTATCGAGAATGAGGCCAACATAGACAATTGACGGGTTGGAGGGATTGGCCTGGGATAATGGCCGCGCCTGCGGGGACGGGTGCAGCACCGCGACGGCTTTCGTACGGTTTCCAAAGCCCGTTCGGAGAGCTGACAACATCGTGGCGATGAGTGCATTATATGCAGATCCATGCTCCAAAATAGCATGTTGAGACGGCTTGTGCAGCTTTGCGGAGGACAGATCAACCCTGGTGCCGAAGTCAGTCATAGATCTGAATCCGCATGCAGGTAGCGCACCGCAGAACGACGTCAAAGCGAGATGCGATATCGCGCTGCTCCTTGAGAAACACAGACGAAAATGGATCATCGGAAGCTGCGTGATTGTCAAGCATTTGAAGTGTCTTCTGCGCATCATAGCGGAGCTGTCGTAGTGTTTAGTTGCGACCAACACGTTACACGTAAATATAATATCTATACCATCTCGAGCGAGCTCAGAGGCACACCAGCAAGCATGTTGACAGTTGAGCTAGAGTCGACGAACACAGCTTCATGCGACGCATACGTCTCGGGCGGAAACTACCTCTCCAGACAGTCAGTTTTTGTATGAGTGGACAAGACAGGTAGCGCATACTCGGTGTCCATCCGCCGACTTGACGAACACTCTGTCCTTCGAGAAATCATGTCGCGCTGTACGGCGGTCAGCCTATGCCTCGTCAAATTCACAAGCAGAGGCCACGCACCCAGGAAATCAAGCGCAGCTTTGAAGAGCTGGTACGAGCTCAGGCCCTTGCCGAGAGGCTTGCGCTTCACTGCCTTGCCGAACCCGCCCGCCGCGGACTCCTCGCCGTGCACGAGCAGCTCAAGCACGGACACCCAGAACATGCCGCGGCGCTCGAAGCCGCGGACGCAGAGCCGGTCGCCCGCGCCGTACCCGCGCTGGTTGGCCCAGACGCGCAGCAGTGCGAGCGCGTCCGCGAAGGCGGGCACAGACTCCTTCAGGTTGTGCGTGCCGAGGAAATGCCGCTTGTAGGCCGTGCAGAGGGCGATGGCGGAGTTGTATAGCGGCGTGGGGGTGTCGCTGGCGTCGCCGGACGTGCGGATGTTCGAGCGCGCGGGGGAGAGGCGTTGGAGAGGAATGGGCGACGACGGGGACAGCACAGGGATGATGCGGATCTCCGCGTTCAGGCCCGAGAAATCAGTTTCTGAGTCACCTTGGCGAATTTGAGTGGTGGCGCCAAGAAATGCAGACATGCTGCGCTTACCGTTTCGCGGACGCAGAATGAGCGTGGTCAGTCGAGGGTCGCCAGTCGGTGACTCAAAAAAGACCTCGACGTTCATGCCGCTCTTGTCCGATATTGCTGCAGCGATGACAGACAGATAGTATGCTCTTTTGTGGAAGAATCGGCTGTGCAGGTAGTCTTTCTCTTGGAACAAAGCCTGTCGAAATGATAAGTGGATGCCGACGACAGAGCACGGTGAGGCATACGTCAGGCATCGCCACGGCAACATCAGCCTGGTACCTGTGTCCATCCCTCTCTTTCACGGCGGATCTCAGCGCCCAGCTACCGACCAGGACAATCTCCGCAGGCCTCTCGAACGCGACCTTCCAATTTGTCTCTGCGGTGGGGGCAGGAAGCGCGAACGGGACGGAGATGCCTTTCTTCTGGAGATCACGCGCCGCTTCGAGAGGGTGCTGCGCCGCGGAGGACGGGAGCGCGTTGAGGAATGCGTGGAGCTGCAGCAGGAAGCGGTCGAGCGGCGCGGCGCGCGAGTACTTTGGCCGAACGTTGGGCAGCAGGGCATCAATCTGTCACAGGAGGTGAGCTTCTATGACAAACGCGGGTTCGGACCTGGCCAACTGGCATGGGACCTGAGTAGACGGGCTAATCGGTGGGATTGCCGGACGCGGGCTCTTGTCGTACAGAACGGGAAAAGCCGTGTGGCGCACATATTCCCGGCTCCTTTGGAGATAGCTCCCCGGAAGAACAACCGCTTTCCAACGGCGCGATAGCGGACAGCGTTCCTTGGAAGCGCCGCGTGTACGACTAGAAACCCCACTGCACACACTACCATACGATTCGCAATCGGACATGAGCCGTGTTAGGTGCGGTGATAACCCATGGATAGAAACGAGGCTAGCCGCATGTCCTAAGGCTCAAACGGTCCACACCAGCCATCCGCACTGCTTCAAGATTAATAACAAGGGTACGTTTGATGGCCGATGCACATCATACTGGGGCAAAAAGGCCTTTTACCGCTATGCAGTGCAGACAAGAACCCCACGCGACAACTCGATCAGGGACCGTCATGCTACGATGAAAACAGGAATTCTACGGCTGACTGCCTCGGTCCCTGGGCATAGTGGACCAATCATGGCTTACCTGCAGCTTAAAGGAAGTCGAACGATACAGCTCCGAAGCGTCCTTGATGTTCCTCAGTTCCTGGCCCTTCGGGGGCTGGTTCTTATGTGTTCCAGGATGTTCTCCTGCAGATCCCGCGGTAGCGGCCTCGCCGCCCAGTCCAGCCCATTGCTCTTCGTTCGTGCCTGCTTCTTCGTCTTCTTCGCTCTCGTCCAACAGGTCGTTTGAGTGCGGGGCGTGGGTATCTCCCGCTGCAAGCATGTCCGCATCGCTCAGTACAGAGTCTGCGTCCTTCTCCGGACTCGATGGACGACGCTGCAAATACGCTCAATGTGTGCCAAGGAACGAGCGCAACGAAGGTCTTGCTCACTTTTGCCGGGAGGGTTTGCGTAGCATGTCCTCTCTTCCTTTTCATTCCAGCGGCCATGATGTACAAGCGAGACGGCAGAGAGGACGAACACAAGAGAGCCCACAGACGGTGGCTGGACGTGAACCGCTGAGCCGCGACAAATGCGCAAAATGAGAGATCTGTACGTCACGTGCGTCTGATGGCCGTTGTCTGATAAGATAAATAGACTCCGTGAAACTCGGAATACTTAATGGGGAATGATCGATGCATCGGGTCAGTCTCCGTACCGCCGAGATGCCGAGCGCTCTCCGGGGCCAACCTCCGTGTCGAGGCAACCTTGCGTTTGATTGAGGCGTGCATCCACTGACATGCGCAATTATTTTCCTCTTCGCCGGTCTGGTAACGTGAGGTCTGCTCATGCCCGTCGCGGGACACAAGGGTCTACATCGCAGAGGGCGAAGGGACCGCCGTCATACGATATGACCGAGAAGAGACACGGACCGATGCCGTACGGGACATGCATCTCTCGATCTGACTGATGTTCGTCTCTGCTCAAAGTGGTGGTCCGGTATCACGGAGCGCTTAATGATCCCCTGTTACGGCAGCACTAGCAGCGCCTCGGTTGCGCCTGACGCACCTTGAGCTTGCTTAATGGATCTCTCCCAGCCCTTGCCCCAAACCCCACCCATTCCGCGTGTAGCCTCTTGGACACAATCTCGGAAGAATGACAAGTCTTAAACGCGCGGTCAGCGCTGCGCAGGGTCCGTCTTATACATGGCCACAGTGGGGACGGGAGACCTCGCCGCCCACGGATGGCGCAATGGCAGTTCGGCTTATTGACCAGCTGTAACGTCATGTATCAGATTCCTTGTCTGCCGTCGACCGTCTGTTTATGGCATGGCCCAAGCGGCTCGCTACCTGTTCACCCCATCTCGGTGATGCCAGGCAGAATCACACGCCCAACGTCTTGTTATAAAGCGTTCCCGTCCTTGTCCTGCCCACCTGCCTTTTCTTCGTCCCTCTCTCCATCCTCCATCCCCCTCCCCCGCCCCGCTACTCCGCCCCCTGGCCAACGACGTCCGTGCTAGTCATGGAACTCCAAGGTACACCCTCAGCCCCTTCCGCCACCGCATCCATGCCTAACCCCACACAGCGCGCGCCAGCAACACCGACTTCCACCGCGACCCGTACGGCTACGTGCCGACGGAATGGATATGCATTCTCTTCATCGTGCTCTTCAGTCTCTCCGCTAGTCCGTATCTCCCTCCCAGTGCTTTCTCCCCCACGCGTGAATGCTGTATCTGACACTGCGCACACAGTCGTGCACGCCGGGCAAGCGACATACACCCGGCTCTTCTGGCTGTTCCCCACCATCTGCACGGCCGGCATCCTCGAGATCGTCGGCTGGAGCGGCCGCCTCTGGTCTAGCAAGAACATCCTGGCGAAAAGCCCCTACCTCATGCAGTGCGTGTCTCCCTCCCGCTGTCCCTCACAGCACACCGATCGCCGGCCCCTTCATGCGCCTGCAGAATAGTCACGACGATTATCGCGCCGACGTTCCTCGTCGCGGCCAACTTTGTCATCCTCGGCCAGATGATCCGCCGCCTCGGCCAGTGCTACAGCCGCATCAGTGCAAAGTGGTGTAAGCTCGTCGCGCGCACAGCCAGATATGATGCTGACGCGCTGTCTTGCGCGCAGATACCATCATCTTTTGCAGCTTTGTGAGTATTTTGCGGTGGCCCCGCGGGACTGTCCACCAGATGTAGGCCACGCTCATGCCGCATACGTACACAGGACGCCATCGCGCTCATCATCCAGGCTGTCGGCGGTGCGACCGCGGCTACTGCCGTAGACCAGAACAAGAACCCGAACAAGGTGAGCAAGCGATAATGCTCTTCTCATGCCCAGCGCGGAGGCGGAAGCGAGAGACTCACGCGGACACCCAGGGCGGCCACATCATGCTGATTGGCATCGTGATTCAAATGTGTACGTGCGCTTCGTTTCCTGATGCAGCTTTCCGAGAATGACGGATCTCCTTTTTTGACACCTGATCTGACGTACGATGATACCGCCCGGCATCACCACGGCCGCGTTGCAACGCCTGCCAAACCTTAATGGACATCCACTGGTCTACGGCGCGCAGTTGGCATCACGGTCTACATGGCGCTCGCGGCGGAGTTTATCCTGCGCTACTTGTACGACCGCCCGGTGCGCGCCTCGGGCGACAGGCCGCTCGCCGCGTTCAGCTTCGACAGGAAGCACAAGCTCATGCTCGCCGGGCTGACGTTCAGCAGTATCTGCATCTACATCCGGTGCGTCCCTTTGCTCAGCATTGCCCGCAGAGCGGCACTGACAACTCTCGCGGGGCGCGGTGCAGGTCTGTCTACCGTACGATCGTATGTTGCCTTCCTTTCCTGTGCAGCCTGGGCCGCGTGCTGACGCGGAGCCTTTCAGGAACTCGCGAATGGCTGGACAGGGTACATCATCCACACGCAGCGGTACTTTGGTGTGTGCTCCGCCGCCATGCGCTCGAAACATGGAGGCCTACTGACCGCCGGCTCTAGACTGGCTCGACGGCGGCATGATCACGCTGGCCATGTTCACCGTCAACTTCTTCCATCCGGGCTTCCTCCTCGGGCCCGCGCGCACCTGGGCGACAGGCAAGGAGGTCGACATCCCGCTCAAGCAGATGGACAGCGACATCGCGTAGATACAGGCGTAAAACGCATGCCTCTTTCCACACATAGGCGAGGGGCCGTGAGTTTCTGTTTCTTTCGACATTCCTAGTGGCGCCTTGCTTTTGTCTTCTGCATTCGACATTCGACAAGTTGTTTTTGATACCAATTCTGCCTTGCTGTGGTTCTACTCGCCTCCCGGTTTGATTGAACGCTGCTGCATCGCCTCTCGCTTGCATCATGGACATCCATTCTACGTCAGACTCATAGATATCGCACAGTAATACCTCGCGGTTTCCTCAAGTGTGCGACGGTGGCACCGTTTTAGTGAGAGACGCGCCGGTCCAGAGGCACTGAGTGCGGTGGAGTAAGACATGTAGAATGCGTGCTTCTGCAATAGCCCTATGGATAGCGTGGACTGCTCTTGCCGTGATGGAGTGCCTCCTCGGGCAGCGATGTGCAACGTTCACACCGCCACGTGTACTCCTTTAGTGGAGACCAAGGAGGTCCCCTGGGTCGCTATCTCAGATCTCAGATCTCAGCATCTTCGGGAAAAGGCACTGTCACGAACGCTGGCACAATCCCAAATGCCGCGGACGTCCGAGGTAGGGCAGGCGTGCGTACGGGTACTTGAGATGCAGCCAGATGACGTCGTGGCCACCGCTATGGTCATATCCGCCGGCGGTGTCAATCTTTGTTTGTGGCCTGCGCACCACGAAGGGGGCAGAGTGCAGGATAGGAAAGCCATTACTACTTCGGGCGGTGGCACCCCAGCGCTCAGCGCTTGTCCGCGTTCAAGCTTCTGACCATACGCGGATGTGAACGACGATCGACTTCCTACCAGTGAGTGCCCGGGTTGTGTAATATTACCCAGAGCCATTTGACCTCAGCACCTGCAGTAGCAGAAGTTGAGCCATGATATCGCGCAGAGGCAAAGGCGAAAATAACAGCACGATCAGCGTTGTGGACAGACCACAATGGCCGTCTGGCAGGTCAGGTTTCTGCACTCTGTGTTGCGACAATGAGGCCTAACGTGCATAGTAGATGTGCCCATGGGACCACTAGTACTGTGACGTAGGGCCTCAACCTGTCATCCATATTGACGTCTGCGCGCGGAAACAACCGGGTCCGCGCCATTCGGGATGGCCAGTTGAGCCGGCGAATGTCGACGGTCGACGGTCTCTTCGTTGCGCCGCGCCGGCTTGCTAAGCAAAATTACTCCTCAGAGCTCCCTTGCAGCATGCGGAATATAATTCTTCCGCATTCCAGGTCTTTATGATTCGGGTCCATGGCACAAAGCCTTTACCGTGACTCACTTCGATACCCTCACTCGCCTCCGCCTCCTGAGCCATGGGTCTTCTAGGTGCGCACACACACAAGCTGCTGAACTGCATTTTGTTTGACGTCTGTCATAGCTCGCCAAGATCCAGTTGATTCCGACCATGATCTGTACGGATACGTCCCAACGGAGTGGATCTGCATCCTCTTTGTCGTCCTGTTCTCGCTCTCCACAGGTGCGTGCATCATCCGAGTGTCAACGCAGCCCCTAATGCGGAAAATAGCCATTCAAGCTGTCCAGGCGGTGTATACGCGTCTATGGTGGATATACCCCACGATCTGCGTAGCGGGTATACTCGAGATCATCGGCTGGAGCGGACGGCTGTGGTCCAGCCTGAACCCTGTCGCAATAAATCCATACCTCATGCAGTAAGTCCCCATGTCCCGTCCGCTTCGTGACACCTCTGCAAACGATAGCGGCCCGCGTTTCGCGAGCTGTGCATCGTCGCCGACCAAGCGCTCTGTACAGTTCATGGACGGTGCACATGACGACACTTTGTTGAGACATCACTGAGAATGGCATGTCCGACGTCCGTCTGTCCGGATCATCCCCCGTAAACAGAGTGACACAGATCCCAGCGCCATTCGGTTCGAATCCCGCCTCATCATATCTCACAAATATCCAGGATCGTCACAACCATCATCGCACCTACGCCCCTCGTCGCGGCGAACTTCCTCGTTCTTGGACAGCTCATTCGCCGACTGGGTCAATGCTATAGCCGTCTGAGCGCAAAGTGGTGTAAGTCGCCCAATCGCTCCATCCAGCTGCCCGCTCACCGGCCTCCTCAGACACGATTGTCTTTGTCTGCTGTGTGAGCTATCGGTTGATGACGTCGTGCATCCGCTCAAAGCCCAACACGCTGACCGTCCGTCAGGACATCGTCGCCCTTGTCATCCAAGCTGTAGGCGGCGGCGCGGCCTCGGGTGCTGTGGACAACAACAAGAGCCCCGTGCCGGTACGTCCTCCGTGCCAGAATCAGCCGCACACCGCCCCTCATGCAGGATTCATCGCCTTGTAGGGAGGGCACATCATGCTCGCCGGCATCGCCTTCCAATTGGGTGCGTGACTCGCACTTGTAGAGGCGCTACGGGACCTCATCTTGTCCCAGCCTCGATCACGGTGTACATGGCCCTCGCAGTGGAGTTCATCCTGCGGTACATGTACGACCGGCCGCTGCGCGCCGCGGAACGCACGGACACCGGGTACGCGCTCGACAGGAAGATGCAGCTCATGATGGCCGGGCTCGCCCTGAGCAGCGTCTGCATCTACATCCGGTGAGCGCCGCCCCGCCTTACTTGCTCCTGTGTCCCACGCCGCTCACGCTGCTGCCGCGCGCAGGTCCGTGTACCGAACCATCGTGAGTCTCCTCTCCATATTCCTGCAAAGGGATACCATCCCGACCCCCTATCGCAGGAGCTTGCCATCGGCTGGACAGGATACGTTATCGAGACCCAACGCTACTTCGGTGTGCAGCCTAGGCTTCTCACGCCGCAATCATAATGGTGCTGACGGCTTGGGCGCACGCAGACTGGCTGGACGGCGGCATGATCGTGCTCGCGATGTTCGCCGTCAACATCTTCCACCCGGGGTTCCTCCTCGGCCCCGGCAAGACCTGGAATGCCCAGATGTCCGCGCAGACGGTCAACAGAGCCGAGGCGCAGGAGAAGCGCGGCGCCGACATGGCGTGATGGCGGTGTCGACAAGAAAAGGGCCTATCTGCTCTGGTGCACCCGCTGTCGTTGCACGCAAGGCCTGCGAGCAGCTCGGCGGGCAACTATTCTACCTAATGCCAATACTCTTAGTTTTCTCCCTAGATGTTGTATCGATATGGTGCGTGTCTGCTAATGAGAAGCCAGTACACACTCGTTGGTCCCTTGGCAAACGCAAGCAGGTTTCAGATCCGAGTGACAAGTGGAATGCTCGAAATTCCAAGGGGTCATAATATAGTGGGGATAGGAAGGCAGTGTACATACACATCGGACTAGTCTTCGATCACAATCACGTCGCTGTCTGCTCTTGTTAGGCGGCTTGCTGCAGACTCTTTCGAGGCGCCACCACCGCGCCGTCTCCGGGTAGGCCGCTCGGGTGCTTCGTCGTCTATCACCAGAACGTCACCAGGGTCTGCCTGGCCTCGTTTGCGCTTGGTGGCCGCACGGGTCCGCGCCGCGCCGCGCGCCCCCTCGTCTTCCGAGTCGTCTATGCTGATGGCCTGCGTTTGCGTGGTGCCGGCGCTCGAGGCGGGACGGCGAGCAGCAGCCGCAGGTGTTGGAGCGATGTCCGCGGCGCGCCCTTTGCCTTTCGCGGCAGATGGGGACGCGGCGGCAGGCGGTGGCGGGCGGGCGTAGAGCTCTGTCCACTGGCGCGCCGTGTGGTCGTATTGGCTGCGATTGCGCAGGTACTGGGTGGCTATTGATGGGACTGGAAGCCAAATAACGTGTTAGACGTTCTGAATACGAGTTGCAGGAAGATGATCAATGGCTTCGCACCTAGAGGATCTTCTGCGTATTATCAAGCCAATCAGCCGCCGTGGATATCACGATCAATTATAATCACATACTGGGGTTGGGGTCTGTGAGGAGCGACGATAGCGAGAGAATGACTTTGAAGAGGGACAGCGCAGGAGACCAGTTGTGCTTGAGGATGTCGATGCAGATGTTCCCTCTATCGTTGATGTTCACATGATATATTCTGTGGAGACGGCGGTCGTCAGTCAGGAGGATGCGCGCGAGGCGGGGCGGGCGCTTGGACGTACCGCGTGCGGAACGTGACCTTCGGAGCGGAGAATCTACGCTCGGACGCGTTTGTCAGAGAGGCGCCAGACAGACAGAGCCAGAGAACGCACGGATAGTCTGGGGCCAGGTGTATTTCGATCTGAAAGACTCCCCCCTCATAGCAGCTGCCCTCTGGTCCCGGGAGCGTAGCCGTCCAGTGGAACAGGTTGTCGCCCGCGGGAGCGAGCGTTATAGCGCCGAGATCTTCCTTCTTGAGGTCGGCGATCTCGCGGTGGATGCGCTTTAGCGTTGTCTGTATGCAGAGTCATCGCGTTCAGTAATCCAACGGTCTATGTTATGGAGCTAACCGAGGTCGAGAGAGCTGGCGGCATGGCGAGGTCGTGTATACGGTGTATGGTCGAGGAACACGGAAGAGGCGCGCGCCGCAGGTCGTGGCTGGGGCTTACGTAACAATGCGTGAGGCGATTGCCAAAGAGGGAATAAGCAACTTGAACACATCTCATGCCAATCTGCCGTTCGCTTCGTCTTTGAGGATAGCAGTCGCTTTCTTCTCATTTACAAAGCATGAGGAGACATCATTGTGACACCTTTCTACATCCCGTTCCGTCCAACTGTTCTGCTACTGTGGCCACCGGAAGCCACTCTCGTCATAGAACAGCCCGTAGTGTAGCCGTCATTGGTAACCCATCATCGGAGACTACTGCATTAACGTAGCCAAATCGCAAAGATTCTGACAAGATAGTGAATAGGTGTCTGCTGACATTTTGGCCAGCCAACGATGTCGTGCTCTCAGTCGCGACGCACTCACGCGTCTTGTTGAACAAATTTCCAATCTTTGGACTATTCTGGCGCTATATGATATAAAAGCGGCCGCTCCATTTTCTTTGCATTCATGCATGACAATAAAAATATTGCCGAAACGCTCTTGACGAAGAAATATCTGAATACATATCATGTTCTTGAAGAAACAAGTAGATTTGCAAGGCCGGCATCGAGAGGTGAGTGCATGTTACCTTTCAATATCGGAGTAACTCAATACATCTTCCGTCAGTGGTGAACGTGACAATACAAACATACCGCATGTTGAGCTGCCGCAGGCGGCATCTATTGATCGAGACATCGACAAAATCTGATGACTTGCGATCTCAAGCTGACGAAAGCGATAGTCAGCTGGTTCTCCGCCCTTTGAAGATTGTCATGGCGTGGCATGCTGCACCTTTCAGCCTATGCAGGTGGTGCACGACGAAGAGCTAAAGCCTTATTGTCGGCCTACTTCAGTTCTCATCTTGCGAAACTATGCTGACTCCCTGAAACCATCCGAGTCATCTTCTTGTCTTTTATAGCATTGAGATGACCGGGAGCGTGTACAATTCGTGCACGGTATACCAGGCTCATCTGACATCGTGTTTCGCGGGCGCGTAGATTCTCTGAGGTGCGTCGCAGGGCACGCAGGACTTAGACGTCTTCGAGGTCGATCGCCAAGCTCATGGGCCTCGACGCTGCCGACGAGCCGCGCCTCCCACCAGGTCTGTTCCCGCACCCCTCCGCGCCTGCATGATCACACACACTGCCGCAGCCGCAACCGCTCACTGGACCCTCGTGAACCACGGCCTGCCGTAATATCCATGGACTTCCTCCTCTCCCGCGCGCCAGCGTCCGGCAGCAGCGTTGGCACTCCCGTCGACTGGCTCAGCGGAAATGGCAGCGGCAGGGGTCCTGAACCAGGCGCACTTCATCTGCCCGGCGTGCATAACGCCACGCGCCCTGTTCGGCCCGCCCGAGGCGTTCCGCACGGGCGCGCCTGTGCTCGGAGAGCTCCCGCTCGTCCTCGGTATGAGCGCAGGCTGCGACCGCGGCGTGCCGTTCGCGCCGCTCAGCAACGCGGAGGCAGGGGCGGGCGACGCGCAGGAGTGGCGGGACATGATGCGCGCGGCCGCCGAGCAAGTGTGGCGTACTCTGACGTGAACGCCGCGGACTCAGGGTGTTCGCGCGGGAGACCGACGGAGACGAGCCTGTGCCTCGTGGCCTTGTGGGATCGTCGCAGCGCGAGGGCATGCGTGTATGTGGATTCTCGGGGTCTGTAGGTAGCACATGATCGGGGAGGTCGCGGCGTACATAATGTAGTTGAGTGCGCTAATCGATGGGTTCTCACCTCACCTTCGACGTCCATCCGTCATCATGAAGAGCATTTTGCAAGCACTCGGCGTTGACAAGGACTGTAAGATCGCTGTGGTTCAGTATCGACGGGATGTCTTTGGAGTGGGGAGGGAGGAGGAGCTCCACTGGTCCATCGTGTTGCAGACTGAATCCAAGGTCAACAGCAAGTCGAGGTTCCCGTGCTTCCAGGTCTTTGATCGTACCTTTAATGATGAGCGGGGAAAGCAATGGGAGCTGCATGACCGGGACGTTTCGCTTGCCAAAACGCGCAAGTGCCTTGGAGGCGTCTATATCGGTGTGGTGAAGGAAAGCCAGATTGCGTTGTTACGGGAGGTATGTTTTGTCATTCCAACGTCCACCCCAGCGCCCGATAAGTATGTTGACGATGATCAGGTCGTCCATAGCAATCCACCCACAGACAGGTCTGCGGAGTGGAACTGCCGTGACTGGGTGATGGAGGTCATCGAGTTGTTTATATTGAAGGGATGGGTTGGTGCAAGCATCCACTCCCAGTCAGTGCTTCTTCCCTCGCTCAGGCGTGCCAGCTTGGCTACAGAGACTCTCTTCAGCGAGAGCTCTAGTGCGCTACCTGTGATTGTCGATCTCGGTGAGTCGGCTCATATCTAGACGCCGCATTAGAATCTGAGATGAGTTTATAGCATAGCTCCGGGGAGAATTAAACATGTCCATCCTTGTGCAATCGATGTCAAGTAGCCACTAGTGCCTGAGATGTTGGTGTACTATACAAAGAAAACAGATCCTTTGAAAACAATGCATGCGACTTAAGATACTTCACAACAAATGTAGAATGATCGAGTATCCTACAAGAAGGTTCCATTGTCAGCATTGCGCTGTAGGACTGTCCCAGACAGAGTTTGTACCTTAGAAAGCGCCGACCATCCGCTCAGACAACTCGCGATCTACGAGCCAATCTTTCTCGTAGTCTTCGGGAGTGAAATCCCGCACAGCCTGTAGCCAGCTCTCATCGTGTCTCGGGGTTGGATAATACATTGACCTGACAAACTCCCAATGCTCCGGATACCATCCAGACTCCTCCCAGTCTATCACGCCCGCTATTGTCCCACCATGCACGAGGATATTGCGAGGTGCAAGGTCGGCGTGCGTGAACACAATCCGGTGGTCATCACGCATGCGAGTGCGGACGTCTGCAAGAATCTCCTCGCATAGATATGGTTCTGCGGCGTCGATGAGACAGTCGTTGAATGCGCTTTCGTCGGCAAAGGGTCCGATCGGATACGAGGATACGCGACTGTCTATGGTAGCAGCACCATTCAGACCGCATACGGCTGGTCCATGGGGAGATTTTAGAGCTCGAAGCTGGAGGACGAATGAGCGTATCTGTTCGACGATGTTTGCGCGCTGCTCGGTATCGAGATGACGCCATACTGCCTGCAAATTATCGCCATGTACCCTCTCCATGAGCAGGAATCTGAGGTCATACCACGCAGTTGCGGCTATGACACGGGGAACGGGGATAGACGTGTGTGTCCGGACGAAGTTGATGATGTGGCCCTCGTGTGCGACAGTGGGTTCACTACTGACTTTTAGAACAAGACCGAAGGGCAAAAAGTGTACGTGGGTGCCTAATACTCCCTTCCAGGAGTAGTACCAGCTTTGAACATGGACATAGATGTTGAGAACGGCTGCGAGAAACATGGTCGGGTCGAAAGCGGAGAAGTATGAACCACCGATCGATCACGAGCTTAAGCAGCCAAGCGCTGCTCAAGCGCTCATAGCTGATTCCATAGCGTCTGCTCCAGGTCGGCATTCCTTTTATCGTTCAGGTTTTCCAGCGTGGCTACAGTGACTTCAACGAGAGCTCTAGTGCGCTACCTGATAATGTCGCTCGTTTTCTCTGAGTGAGACGACTTTCGGTGACTTGGCTCATATCTAAAAGCCGCGATGAAATTCGAGAGTTTATAGTGTGACTCTGAGCAGAATTGAAGTATTTACATCCTTGTGCAATCGATATAAAGTAACAGCTAATGTTGGAGTAGTACTAAGTAGGATTGAACCAGATGGTACTTGTACCTCAGGTTGGAAGTCGTGGATCTACCCCCATTCATGCAGAGACAGCGAGGCGAAAAGGCGAGCAAGATGGAGGCGGACATGCGTGAAATTATAGAAAAGGCTCAAGAGGAGTTCGAACCACATGCGCTGCTCGTCTTCGAATGGAAGTGCGGTTGAATATACCGGGCGCTGTTTCGCATTGTACGTCTACCTTTCCAAGTGGTTATGATGACGCGCTGATGGGCTTTGACGATCTTGGACGGCGTCAGAATAGCAGCTTACCCTATCCCAGACTGGCGCGGCTTTCCAGACAGCACGGCCTCTATACTGTTGTTCTCACACATGATCGGAGGTGCACAAGACGTTAAGACTCCTGAACTGAACGCTGCGGAGTCGGGGTGTGCGCACGGGAGACCGGCGGAGACGAACCTGGCTCCTGCGGCCCTGCGGGGTCGAGCGAGACAGCATTGTACCACCTTTCTACACAAAATCATCCCGTGCCGCTCTGTTACTGCGGCCACTGGAAGCCACTTTTGGCAGCCTGTATCGTAGTTTTCATTGGTAATCCACCCTCATCGTCGGAGACTACTGCATTAACTGTACACAATGTAATCAAATCACAAAGATTCTGAAAAGACAGTGAATTGGTTTCTGCCGACATTGTGACCAGCCATTGGTTTCGTGCTCTCGGTCGCGACGCACTCACAGCAGACGGACTATTCTGTCGCTATATGACACAAAAGCAGTTGTTCTATTTTTCTTGCATTCACGCATAATAATAAACAGATCGCCGAAAGACATCTTTGAATGCATATCATCTTTGAATGCATCATGTTACTGAAGAAACCATCAGATCTCCAAGGGTGACTTCCAGAGGTGAGTGCATGTTGCCTTTCAATATCGGACTCACTTAATACATCTCTTTCGCCAGTGGTGAATGTGGAAATGCAGACAGTATTTATTGATCGAGATATCCACAAGATCTGATGACTTGCGATCTCAGCGGTCTCAAGCTGACGAGCGCGATGGTCAGCTGGTTCTCTGCCCTTTGAGGATGATTATGGTGTGACATGCTATGTCTTTCAGCCTATGTAGGTTTAATACGATACAGGACTAGGGTCTTATTGTCGGCCTACTCCAGGCCCTCATCTTGCGAAACCACGCTGACTCCCAGAAAGGAGATTGAACAGGAGCCTCGAAATAAGGTTACTGCTACCAGGTCTTGTCGGAGCACGCACCACGTTGGTTCTAATACTTTCAGCCTAAATTAGGTTGTGAGGAAATGCTGATATTACTGTAATTGGTGGTCAAGCGAAGTGCGTACTGAAACCATCCGAACCATCTTCTTGTCTTAGCATTCAGATGACCTGAAGCGCGTACAATCCGTGTACAGTATACCAGGCGCATCCAGTGTCATGTTTCGCGGGCGCATGGCTTCTCTAAGGTGCGCCGCCGGGTGCACAGAATTTAGTCTTCGGGGTCGGTCCCCAAATTCATGGGTCTCGACGCCGCCGACAAGCCGCGCCTCCCACTAAGTCAGTTCCCGCACTCCTCCGGCCTGCACGATCCCCCGCACTGCCGCCGCAGCCGCCTGTGCACTGGTTTCTCGTGAAGCGCGGCCTGCCTGAATGTCCATAGGCTTCCTCCTCTCCCGCGCACCCGAATCCGGCAGCATCATGGACATACCCGTCGACTGGCACAGCGAAGATGACGCTCTCATGCTGGACATGTCGCCTAGCACGAGCAACGTGCCGCTCATATTCGTCACCGCCGACAGTGCACACACCGCTTCTGCGCGTATGTCTGTACACCACTGACACGCCCTCCTCCGCCGCCGCAGGCTCCATCATCGTGTACACCCTACAAGAAGTCACGCTCGCCGACGTACGCAAGGACGTTGCCAGATTCCACAAGCTGTCCATGCCCGTGCGTTCCACTCTTCATTTTCTCTCTCGCACTTTCCCGCCTCACCGCCGAGTACTGGCTGCCTGCTAGCTACAGGCCATCGACCTCCTCCTGAACTAGGCGCACTTCATCTGCCTGACGTCGCTCGAGGCGTTTTGCGCGGGTGCGCCTGTGTTCAGCGAGCTCCCGTTCATCCCCGGCGTGAGCGCAGGCGGCGACAGTGGCGTGCCGTTTGTGCCTCTCAGCAACGCGGAGGCAGGGGCGGGCGGCGCCTAAGAGTGGCAAGACACGATGCGCGCGGCCGCCGAACAAGTGTGGCGCAAGTTGACATACCCGGGGTCTTCGCGCGGGAGACCGATGGAGACGAGCCTGGGCCCCTGTAACCCTGTGGGATTGCTGCCACGTGAGGCCATGCATATATGTGGATTTCTATGGTCTGTAGGTAACACATGATTTGGAAGGTCGCGGCGTATACGATTGTGTGAAGAGTCCCATCGTAGGAGGGTCTTTCAGATCGAGATCTGGCAGCCACAAACCTGCGTCCATACGGACCCCAATGATGGATCATGGAATGAATGGCCATGCGGAGCGGGCCTTTTACTTACTGATATGTGTTTAACGGATAGTTTTCTGGATACATCGTCTCCGAAATCTTGCATTCACATGTGTCACAGATACGGAATTCATACAAGGCGCAGCAAGCGTAGCCAAATGACTGAACTATATGCATATTTATTACAAAATCAGCCCCAAGTTACAACTCGTTCAATCACGACGTTCTGAGTAGAGTCAGTCTTAAGATCTAAAGCTCAATTAAATGAGTGTTACTCACCGCCGGCATATTTGTCCATGTCGAAGCTGACCCCAGGTAGGAACTCATCTGTTCATAAGTAGGTGGATCAGTCACATGGCCATGTTGAAGGATTTCTACTGACCATCTGCGCTGGGCACTGGAGGGGTGTGTCAGCGTCCGAACTTACTATTACGACAGGAAATAGAGACCTACCGGGCATAGGCTTAGGCATGGCCGCAGTTTGGAGGGCAGCGAAGCCGATGATGGCAAGGTAAGAACCAAATTTCAGGAACTGCATCGTCAACTTTGGGGTTTGAGATTGGTGGAGTTGCTGGTAGGCATCTGCACAACACCCTAGCATTATATAGGCTCAAGTCATCGGCGAGAAGACAGGAGTTTCGGCTTTGGTAGTCCGGTCTGTGTTGCTACTCGGGGATACAAAGTCACGTTGCCGCAATATGCAATGTTTTCAGGTGGCACTTGCACATAACGGCGGACTCACCCCGTTTCAAGCATCCACTTTTACGTCTCCGAGCGCCCTACAACTGTGATTGATAAGGCAATGAATGTCAAGCTGAAACACCTTGTAGTATTTGTGCACACGCTTGTTCTCCAACGCCGTCTCAGCGTCTCAGCATGTAACAGCTGTCGGAGGGATCACGTACAGTTTATAGCTGATATGGTAAGTCATCCCAACAATGGAGCCATCTGTGGCGGTTCTAGGTTGTATCTTGACAGCAAGGACACATTGATCGATCCAACAGAAGCTTTGTTGCGCTGAGCATCTGTCGTGATAAGCGCGGACGCCCAGTTGCAGGCCGCTGGAATTGCCTCAGGTAATGGGCACCGCAAGGCAGCAACGCAACTTAAATGTGAAAACAGCCTGACCCGACTGCCAGCCATGGCGCATGCCGTTTATCAGCCTCTCAAGACTGTTGATGATGGTGAGGATCGGGGTTATGTCAACTCGAACACTCTACGTGCAAGTCAGAGGTGGCTCTCGTGGCTTGCACATGCCATACTCTTATGCTTGTCAGCTCTACTGCTTCTGATGTCACGTCGTGGGTGCGATTCCCAACACTGCGCGCAGCAAGTATCGGCATATTGTGCGTACCCCTTCCACTGCGATCTTAATTCAAACAAACTGCGAAACTGAAACATTTGTCTTTCCGTTCTATTCCTTGTACTACTAGCGCCCATACTGGCGCCTGTCTTAGCGCTCACCCGCAGGTTGAACATTATGTAGCTTACATAATGGGGTCCGTGCGCACTTCGTGCCTGGTATCGTACCACTACGTTTCTTTCTTCACTAACACGACCACATAGACACGATGGTCCGTGCGCAGTCGGTACTTGTATAAGTAGTTGTACCATTAGTCGGTCGAACCCTAAGTTCGACCTGGTTATTCATTCAAGTCTCTGCTCCTCTTCGCTTGGGGTAGTGGTCATTCTCGACTTCCTCGCTCGATCTTCAGGACGACGTACTGTCCATAAGTCCTCGCTCGTCGTCTACGAGTCAGGCATCGATATAGGAGTATAGACCGTTGTATCAGAAACACAGCACCCGCAATAGAGGCCATAGAATACATGGACATCACCTTCAATGGCACTTTTCATTTTCCCTCTCGATTGCAGGCACAGCTTGACACCGATTGGGAGAGCGATATTATCACGAGTTCGTCCATTGCAATGTTTCGCTCGATGTCACTTAGCGAAAATGTGTAAAACAGTGCTGCCACTTCAAATCGCGGGTAATACCTTGTCGGAACTTGGCAAGGAAGTTACGCCATCGCTTGTCCAGCTACCCCAGGAATATGGTGGTGGCTACCTGGCGTCACTGGAAATAATACACCACATGCACTGTCTCGTACGTTAGCATTCTCCGAGTCTTCGTAAGTCTCACAAGCTGACGATGCTCTCCACTCATATGGTTGGTTCCCACTCCAGGACAGGTTGCGCAAAGCCGCTAACTGTGCGGTCGATAGCACCAAAGAAGAGATTCCTGCGTCTGATCAACTTCACATAGGTACTTTACTATGTATCCACAAGTTTGGCATTGAATTGAGCCCCTCTTCAGATCACTGCGTCAACATGCTTCGTCAACAACTATTGTGCGTTGCCGACACTGGGTTGATTACGTACCACTGGGTTGAAGGGAGAAACACTCCTTTCCCCGACTTCAACACCTTACACAAGTGTAAGGATGTCAACAAGATCAAGGAATGGAATCGCCAGAATGGTGTGCGGGTCCCGACAAAGAGCATTATAAGAACTCCGGACGTCGTCGATTTACAAGATTTCCCTTGAAACCTGACACCGGTAGTTCTGTACATGTTCTCGTGCGTTTCATCTGACCGTTGACCACGGCCGTCGGCTGTTCCAAACATGAATCATGCTCTGGTTTGACCCTGTTATCCCGAATCAAGTCTGCCATATCATATTTCGTGGAGTGCAACTTGAGAGTCGGTCATGCTACCAAAACCTGACTGACCGGGTCCTCACCTGACTTGCGCTCACGTATTCATGAGGCGCTCGTAAATTTTGAAATCACGAACTTCTGCGATCCTCGGGACGCGCGTCTGATGTTCGTCCAGTTTCATGACATGGTGTGGGGTGTTCCGCATTTCGGATCTATTGGACTTCGGAACATGTGGTCAGGAGGGCGTTCGCAAGCTCATGCGCCATTGTAGCCGGGGTCGGAAGCCCCATGTCGATAAGACACCTTGGCTACATTGCAAGGACCCGGCAACGCTTGTCGTGGCAAGAAGCTGCAGTTTCAGACGAGAAAGAAGTATCTACATAGTACAGATCATGGAGCTGAATCCATGGACAGGGATTCCCAGAACGAAGAATAGCGTACACCGGCGCAGGTTAGGCATGATGGGTGCGCGTCGGCTAAGGAAGAAAGAACACGGCTATTTGACGACGTACTACTAACTATCAGGATGCCATTCTCGCCGCAGCTTCTACGAGCGTTGTCTCTGTGCTAGAAGGATATTGACTGCATGATGAGTAGCCAAGACCGACTTAATTTAGCACACCGCTATACCAATCCGCCATAGGAGGCTGAGAATAGCCAAAATGTTCATCAACAATTCAAGAAACTTCGATTGAGGTTGTTTACGTAGCCTGTACGATCATGTTCGTGCGCGATGCAGAGGGTCTCATCATTTTGCGCGTACCCTTGGCTGGCGAGCTGGCGAGATCTAGAACAAGCTGCCAGTACGTCCTCGCCACCACAAAGATGAAGACTACGTTCACTAGTAGGAACAAGAAAAATCTGGATCATCCGACCACTTAGCGAGAGACCATGACACGCGCGATACGCACTCACTTCCGGAGCAAAGAGTACTCGATCCAACTCCGCGCACCGGGATAGCCTTGGAAATATGCGGGGCCTCATACTTCCAGGCTGTTGACCGCGTCCAGTAAACAATGGGCGTTGTTTAGCGGCAACGTCTTGCTCGTCAGGACATCTAAATCCCTTAGTGGTGTCTACGATGGCACGATGGAGAGCCAGATTGTGCCGATAAGGGAGGCGAGTATTCTTCACGATCATGTAGCTGGATCGATATGCTGACTTTAATTCATTTATTCAGTTTTTTATCATAATCGAGTCTTATGAGGGTGGTGCCCTATGCGATATGCTAACTGTAACTTAGGTTGTCTCCGACAATTACACAATGGCGAAGTTCGCTGAGTGGAATTGTCGTGACTGTGATGGAGATCATTCTATTGTTCGCCGAGAAGGGATAGGTTCGTGCCAGTATCCCCGATCAAGCAACACTGCTCCCCTTGTTCCGGATCCGGCGTATAAGCGTGTCTCCACGAATGCATCCGCCGAGAGTGGGAATGCGGCTCCAGTGAGTGTCGAGCTCTGGTTGAAGAACGTTACAGTGAGTCTGTTCACGTTACGACGCACACTGGACGTGCGACTGAACTTCGCGATCACTCACAGACAGGACATCTGAATCCTACTCGAAGGTGTTTTTCTCCTGTACGATTTATCTAATGTAAGATCGATATATCAGGTCTTCGGCGCATCTGGTTTTTCCGGCGCACTGCTTCTCTGAGGCGCGCAGCCGGGTGCACAGTACTTAGACGTCCTCGGGGCCGGTCTCCAAACTCATTTGCCTCGACGCTGCCGAGGAACTGCGCCTCTCACCAGGTCCGTTCCTGCACTCTTCCGCGCCTGCACGATTACCCACACTGCCGCTGCCGCAACCACCAACTGGTCCCTCGTGAACCACGGCCTTCCGTAATGTACATGGACTTCCGTCTCTCAAGCGCACCAGCATCCGAGTCCGGCAGCAGCGTGGACACGCCCGTCGACTGACGCAGCAGAGATGGCGGCGGCTGCGGCGGCCCTGGCCTTGATGTCCTCGTGCCGGACATGCCGCCTGGGCTGCTCATGCTCGGCCAGCTTGTCACCGTCGACAGTGTGTACCCCGCCCTCCACAAGTTGACCATGCCCGTGCGTGTGTACTGCTGCCCACATATTACCGACCTCCTGTTTCACCAGGCGCACTTCATCAGTCCGGCACGCATGACGCCACACGTACCGCTCGGCGACGCGAAGGCAGGGGCAGGCGGTGCGCGGTCGTCGAGCTTGGGGCACTCTGACCGCCGCGGAGTCAGGATGCTCACACGGGAGGCCGATGGAGACGAGTCTAGCCCTGCGGGATCACTGTAATGCAAGGACACGCGTGTATGTGGATGTTCGGGGTCTGTAGGTAGCACATGATCTGAGAGGTCGCAGCGTATATAATGCAATTGAATGCGCTAATCGATGGTTCATCAACTTACCTTCGACATCCATCATCATGAAGAGCGTTCTGAGAGCATTCCGTGCAGACAAGGACTGCAAGATTGCCATCCTGCAGTATCAGCGAGCTGAATTCGGAGTTGGGACGGAGGAGCACCTGCATTGGTCCATCCTGTTGGAGACTGAAGCACTTGAAAGGAGGACAGACCTCCGATGCTTCCAGGCTGTTGACCGCACCTACGGTGACGAGCGCGGAAAACAATGGGAGTTGTTCGACGGTAAAGTCTCGCTGGTCAGGACACGTAAATGCCTCGGTGGCGTCTATATCGGCACGGTGAAGGAGAGCCAAATTGCGTCGATGAGGGAGGTATGTATCCCTCACGGTCATGTAACTGGATTGATATGCTGACTGCAACCTATGTTGTCTCCAACAATTCTCCAAAAGCGAAATCCGCTGAGTGGAATTGTCGTGATTGGGTAATGGAAATCATCCAGTTGTTCGCCGAGAAGGGTTGGGTGTGTGCCAGTATCCCCGACCAAGCGACGCTACTCCCCTCGCTCCGGCTCGCAAGCGTGGCCACCATGGCTGCATATGCTCAGGGCACGGGCGCGGTTCCTGTCGTTGTCGAGCTCTCTGGTTGGAGAACATAACAGTGAGCCTGCTCATGTTACGATGCATACTGGACATGCGACCTAAAATTGGTGATCAGGTACAAATAGCACATCGGGACTCCACTCGAAGGCGGCTTTCCCCTGTACACTTAGTCTAAAGTAGGGTTGGTATCTCAGGTCTGCGTAAACTGTACAAACGATTGACCATCGAAGTGAACGAAAATTTCCATGATACGTGTGAAATGGCGCTCATACATGGGAATCATGCGTATCCTACGGGGTAGATCCAATGAGCATTGTACAGACGACGACCAATTTGAAACATTATCTGACCTTAGAACGCGCCAACCATGCGGTCCGATAGTTCGCGATCCATGACCCAGTCTTTTTCGTAGTTTTCCGGAATGAAATCGCGTATAGCCTGCAGCCAAGCCTCATCCCGTTTGTAAAACGGGAAGTATACAGCTTTGACAAACTCCCAGTGCTCTGGATACCATCCAGACTCCTCCCAGTCAATGACCGCCACAACTGTGCCTCCGCGCACGAAGATATTGCGTGGCGCGAGGTCGCCATGAGTAAGAGCGATGCGGTGGTCGTTGCGCATGCGAGAGCGGATGTCTGCAAGAATCTCATCACATAAGTGTAGCTTCGCGGCGACGATGAGACCGTCGTTGAATGCGCTTTCGTTTGGAAATGGACCGACAGGTTGTGAGGATATGCGGCTGTCAATGCAAGTGACACCATTCAGCCCGCACACTGCTGGTCCATGAGGAGAGCGGAGAGCACGAAGCTGAAGGACGAAGGAGCGCAGCTGAAGAACGATGTTTGAGCGCTGCTCGGCATCGAGATGCTGCCATGCCCACTCCAAGTTGTCGCCTTCTACCTTCTTCATAAGCAGGTATTTCCGCCCACACCACTCCGCTGCGACAAAGACGCATGGGACAGGGATAGAGGTGTGTTTGCGGACGAATTCGATTGTATGGCCCTCGTGCGCGATATTTTGGGTGGTGACTTTGAGAACAAGACCAAAGGGCAGGAGGACTATGCGGGCCTCTGATATCCCAAATATGTAGATGCACCAAGCTCGGATCCAGATGTATATGTTGAGGATTGCTGCGAGAAACATGGGAAGCCTGAAAGTGGAGGCGGAGTCCAGAGTGCGTGACAGTACTTGAGATTTGATCGGAGTTCCATTGTAAATCGCCGATCGATCGTGATCGAACCGCGCTTTCAACTCAACGTTCACAGACAGCAGGAGCATTGAACGGTTAATCCGCTTATCTTGCTTCACCATTTCCCTATGAACATACACATGCACTCCTCAAGCTTCAAGTGTAGAAGCTGCCTAGGAGCGGCGAGTACATGTGGCCAACACACTCCCAAGGTAGCCCATTGTGCCTACCCAAAATAGACTACAATGCACGGACATGATATCGGTAGAAATTGAGACCTATTGTTCCATTACATGCAGGTGAACCCTCATCTTCCCTCTCTTCTTCATCTTTTTGTTAATTAGGTGCTTTCAATGTGTTCTCGTCCGCCTTCATGTCGTTGATGATGCTTGGAATAGCGGGTGTATCATGTGTGCCCCGAGTCGGAGTCTTCCGCCGGTTCGGGCTCACTCTGCGTTCAGCAGAGGGGGCGTCTACGGCAGGCCGCGTGCGAAATGCCCCTCGCGCTCAGCAGTTTTGTCAATATCGACGAATATGTTGTGACTAGCATGTCGGAGCCCGTTTGAACTGTGAACTGCAGACGCGGTCATAATTCCAGTACTACAGCACGTTGAGAAACTCGTGTAGTTAATTCTCGCTGGTGTCGATGTCCAATGCAGGGCAGAAAGAACCATAGTCGACAAAGCCTACATCCGACAGATCGTGGGCAAGACAGCACACTCATTGACGTTTGAGGACGCGTGCTCATTGTCCCAGTACTCATCGTGCGTCGCCTTCCTTTCACTCATGATAGGGCATCTAACCAAAACCGTCGTCTTTTCTTTTTTGTTACGATCAATGCTGCACACTTCTTTCGGCAAGCCCGAGGCTATACGCATGCCTCATGCATACGAACAAGTGCTCATATTCTGCAAGCCCCAACTCGTTGCTCGTCAACAGCGTGAGCAATAGTGGCGACGACGACGTGCCTTCTGCGCTTCTGGTAGAATCACACCGACTCCAACAAACCTGCGAAAGTCAGCAGTGAATGGATGTCGCATCATTCGAAAGACGAGGTCACACAGTGAGTGCGGGGTAATTTGGCATGAATATCGTAGGGCCGGGATACTAGCCTGGAGGGCCGACGGGATCGTGCTGTGCGCCTGGACCTGCAGGCTTACTTCAGGGGCACGCGTGTATGTGGATTCCCGGAGCCTGTAGCTAGCACATGATTCGGAATTCTCCAACGTATATAATGCAGACGAGTGCCACGATCGATGGATCCCCAATTCACCTCCCACGTCCACCGCTATGGATAACATCTTGAAAGCACTCGGCGTTGACAAGGACTGCAAGATTGCCGTCCTACAATATGAGCGGGATGGTCGTGGAGTAGGGAAGGAGGAGGACCTCCACTGGGCCATTGTGATACAGACCGTCTCCAGGCCCGACACCAAGTCGAGGTTGCCATGTTTTCAAGTATACGATCTCAATTTCAACGACGAGTGGGGAAAACAATGGCAGTTGTACGACCGAGATGTTTCATTGCTCGGCACGCGCAAGTGTCTTGGTGGCGTCTTCATCGGTAGCATCAAACATAGCCAGTTGAAGCTGTTGCGGGAGGTGCATATCCTTACTTCGACTAGACCTAGATGGGTATGTCACTGATACGGCTCAGGTCGTTCACACCAATCCACCCACAAACAGGCCTGCGGAGTGGAACTGCCGCGACTGGGTTATGGAGGTGATTAAGCTGTTCGCAGAGAAAGGATGGATTTGTGCGAGCATCCACGCCCAAGCGACACTGCTTCCCTCGTTCCGGCGCGCGAGCGTGACCAAAGACGGTCGGTACCCTTCAGGATAGATATCGCGCGCACGATATCTTCGCATGACCTACTAATCACAAGGAGTGAGCATCACACAGACAACGGATTTGAAAAGGTAATGGTACCTTAAAACGCGCCTACCATGCGATTGGACAACTCGCAATCCACAAGCCAGTCTTTCTCATAGTCTCCTGGGATAAAATCCCGAATGGCCCGCATCCATGCTTCGTCTCGTGGACTCGGCATTGGGAAGTACATGGCCCTGACGAACTCCCAATGCTCCGGGTACCACCCAGATTCCTCCCAATCTACCACAGCCAGAATCTTTCCACCACGTACGAGGATATTGCGCGGTGCAAGGTCGGCGTGGGTGAACACAATCCGGTGGTCGTTGCGCATCCGAGAGCGGACGTCGGCAAGAGTCTCCTCGCATAGATATGGCCTTGCGGCGTCGATGAGACAGTCGTTGAATGCGCTTTCGTCGGCAAAGGGTCCGATCGGGTACGAGGATACGCGGCTGTCTATTGTAGCAGCACCATTCAGACCGCATACGGCTGGTCCGTGGGGAGATTTAAGAGCTCGAAGCTGGAGGACGTATGAGCGTAGCTGCTCGACGATGTTTGCGCGCTGCTCGGTATCGAGATGACGCCATACTGCCTGCAGATTATCGCCGTATACCCTCTTCATGAGCACGAATCTCCTGTCATACCATGCTGTTGCGGCTATGACACGAGGAACGGGGATAGATGTGTGTTTCCGGACGAAGTTGATGATGTGGCCCTCATGCGCGATGCTAGGCTCGCTGGTAATCTTGAGAACAAGACCGAAGGGCAAAAACTGTACGCCGCCGCTCATTGTCCCCGTCCAATAGTAGTACCAGCCTGCAACGTGGACGTAGACGTTAAGAACAGCCGCTAGAAACATGGTAGGGGTCGAAAAGCAGAGAAAACGAGAACAGCAAATACAACTATAGGTTCGATCGGAGTTCTATGTTGCGAATCACCGATTGATTACCAGCGAGCGGGAGTTTCCCTCTACGCTTTGGTGAACATGTAGACCTGGAAGTATCGAGTTACCGCCAGCAACATGCAGTACTGCAAGATAGCTGCGCGCTATGATAACCTGGTGTAGTGGATTGATCGATCGGGTGTCTCGAACGTCAAAACCTTGAAAGTGCGAAATCATTCTTCAGGTGGCCAAGATCTTAATTACAACATATAATGTACCATCCATCCATTGCACGTTTCGGCTACGCACTCGTCTTCAGATGTGTACTGTGTTTACCGGGGCAGACCCCATGTAGGCATCTGCTGCTGATTGGCTCAGGAGCCAATATCCTTGATCGAACTTCGGGGAATCCTGCTCTCTGATTGGTGACAGCCTGGCACAGCACAGTGTTATGTAAGCGTGAACACGGAAGATGACACGTGGCGATGAGGATCTGGGCGTTTATCCCCAACACTGGCAACCGTTGATCACATAACAGAACCCGTGGACAGACATTCTTGGAAAGTACGCCGGCACGACTTGGAAACAATGTACACACGTTCTATTGTTGGTCTATAGCTCGCGAGGGTTTCCACGATACACGACGTGACAACCTGCCGTCGACACCCATCACCATGGCCAGCATTTTCAAGCTTTTCACTACGGACAGGCAGTGTAAGATCGCCGTGGTCCAGTATGAACGGGCCGACTACGGAGTGGGGACGGAGGAGCACCTCCACTGGGCCATAGTGGTACAAACGGAGAGGCTCGATCAGGATCTTCCGTGTTTCCAGGTGTTCGACCGCCACTACAACAACAGCCGGGGCGTGCAATGGGCCTTGTTCGATCGCGATATCTCGCTGCTTAAGACGCGGAAGTGTCTGGGCGGGGTTTACATTGGCAGTGTCAAGTACAGCCAGATCAAGGCGCTCCGAGAGGTGCACGCAACCTCGAGTCAGAGAATGGACTGATGTGCTAATGTAATTCACACGAAGGTCGCCTCTGGCAATAGCCCTGTACCGAAGTTCCCTGAGTGGAATTGTAGGGACTGGGTGATTGAAGTCATCCAGCTGTTCGCTGAGCAGGGGTGGACTAGCACGAGCATTCCGGACCAGGCAACACTCCTTCCGTCGATGAGGATCGCCAGCGTCGCTACCAAGGCCGCTTACACCGGCCGTTCTCTGCACCCGATACCAGTCATCGTCGACCTCACAGTCTGAGTCCCTGGTAGGTCAGTTCGCATTCGTTGCGGCGTCCAGACTGCGAGATTGATGACGACGTACACAGTCGGTCCCACTCAGACAAGTACAGCGAGTAGAATGCCTTATGGAAGGATCATGAATCGTCGTGTCACCCCATATCGGGCGCTCTTAGATCTGCTGCTCCATGTTGTTTTGCAAATTTGTCATCTTTGGATCGTTTGATCAATCGGGAAGGTTTGCAGAAGGGATGGGAATCCGCGCTGAGATGACATGAGGCATATCAGTCTCAATGCGTTATATATATCCGAGTTGAGCGAGCAGTAAAGAATAGAATGTGTGATTACCTTAGAAAGCACCGACCATGCGATCGGATAACTCGCGGTCCATGAGCCAGTCTTGCTCATAATCGTCTGAGAGGATGTCTCGCACGGCCTCCATCCAGCCTTCGTCTCTCGGATTCGGCATCGGGAAGTACATTGCCTTGACAAACTCCCAATGCTCAGGGAACCACCCGGATTCCTCCCAGTCAATCATGGCGACAACCGTGCCCCCGCGGACGAGAATGTTGCGCGGCGCAAGGTCGCCGTGGGTGAACACGATGCGGTGGGTATCTCGCATGCGTGACCTGATATCACGGAGCGTCGTATCATCCGTGTACGGATCGGCGGCGTCGACGAGACAGTCGTTGAACGCGCCTTCGTTGGAAAATGGGCCGACGGCGTGCGAGGACACACGGCTGTCTATGCAGGCAGCACCGTCCAGGCCGCAGATTGCCGCGCCGTGCGGAGAAGGCAGAGCGCGTAGCTGTAGGACGAAGGAGCGCAGCTGCTCGACGATGCTTGCACGCTGCCCGCGGTCGAGGTCGCGCCATGCGGCCTCCAGGTTGTCGCCGCGGACCTGGCGCATGAGCGTGAACCTGCGGCCGAAGCCCTCTGTCGCAGCCAGGACGCGAGGAAGTGGTATGGACGTGTGCGCCCGAACGAATCTGATGATGTTGCCTTCGTGTGCAATGCGCGGTTTGCTGCTGATTTTCAGGACAAGGCCGAGGGGCATGAAGAGGACGCGCCCAGTCCACTGGCCGCGCCATTCCCAGTCGTACCAAGCTCGAACAGAGACATAGAGTTGGAGGATAGCTGCGAGAAACATGATACACAGCGGGCATGCATGATGCACAAAGTTGGCAATAGTCTTGTCATTACGTAATGGTCGAAGAAATCGACTCACCCAATACATCGGCGCTAGGACGCTAAAACGGGAGACAGCACATTTGATGGGCTTTGGAAAACCCCGGATATGCAAGAATGCCAGCGCGAGTAGGTATGACGCGTCGGAGGCGACAATCTTGAGAGGTTGAGAAATCGCTTGCTGTGGACTTGTACCAGAGACGCCGGGCTTAGCTTGTCTGTGCCCAGGAAAGGGCTCCCATCCCGATTCGGATAGAGGCTTTCCACATTAGGATGAGTTTCGATCGATCGGACAGATCTGAAGCATCGTCCTTCATGTACGTCATAATCTCTCCTTTCATCCCGCCTGTCTCCTTTGTACGTATATAGACTCGTGCTGACGTCGTATAATCCAGTTTGACCCCTCTTACTCAAACCCCATCATCTCTCAGTAAGTCCTTTATTCGTTTAAACATCTTACGTGCGTCGCTGTTCGTGACGTTGTTGCTTTGGAATGCGTACGTTGCTATTCGAGCACGCTTCGTAACTTAACGTTCCTCTTGTTTGTTTGTCATCTTGTGAACGCGTATATAGCTGGTTCCACGCGGCTAATTCATTTCTTTTGTCATTCTAGCTAGTATACAATCACAAACGCTCCTCGACCGTGTCCGGATATCACTGCAGATCCTTCCTCCCACACCGGATTTGATCGCACCTACACATTGGTCATCGCCCAACAAGACCCGTCCACGAGTCTACCAGATCGACGACGCAATAACCATCCACTGGTACATACTGCCGCGTGATCATCTTGATCGCCTCTTGCGCGACCAGACCACCGACGAATGCCGCCGTGTTCGGCAACTCCGCAGTTGGCGCGCGCGCTCTGTCAACCCACACTCAGCACGCGTTCAGGTGGCGGCGACAAGATGGACACGTACAGCTCACCGATCGCGTCCTCTGTCTCCGACGGCAGCGCGACGCCCTCGCCGACGACCTTCTGCACCTCCTCTGTGAGCGCCTCTGCGCTGACCTTCGATCCGTCTGACATTGTACCATAAGCATAATCCCAAGCACTAGGACCCGTGAAGACGCACCGGGCCCCTCGTTCAAGAGCGTCGACAGCGCATTCAGCGCAAGGTGCGTCGCCGTCTCCCGCGGGACCATCTCGAGCGAGGACGCTGCAGGAGCGAACGCGCATCAGCACACCGCGCGCGCTTCATACACCCACCGCATCCACTCACCCACCGCCGCACGGTCCGCCGCCCACGCGCCCCACCGCCGCCCGCGCAGCACACGCACATGGTGCGCATTCTTCACGAACGTATCCAGCTCCTCCGGATCGACGTGCGGCGCCACATCGGGGCACTCCTCTGCGAGCAGCGCCCCGAACAGCGCTTTCTCCACGCGTGCGCGGTCCTTGTAGATCGTTTGCAGGCGCACGTAGCTTGTCGTGTCCGTGCGCATGTCCGGCAGCGCGCCGCTCAACGGGAGCGCCCCCGGCCCGCGCTCGCTGCGCACGAACGCCGCTAGCGCACGCAGCAGCGCGTGGAACGCCGTGTTCGGCGTCGTCTCGCTCAGTGGTGCGTCCGCGCCCGAGAGCGGCGGCAGCGTGAAGAGCGCCGCAATGTCGGACGGCACGGCAGGCTCGGCCCACACGCGCCATGCCTGCGCCTCTGCCTCGTCAAAGTTCTCCTCATCAGGCTTGCGCCGGAGCGCGCGCACGGCCGCCTTGAACGCTTGCTTCTCTGTGGAGGTCGCCGGGAGCGCGCCGCCGTGCTGCGCAAGTGTCTGTCAGCGGGGTGTGCGCAGGCAAAGACAGAGGGAGATATGACACGGACCTCGCGGCGCCAGTCATCGACGATGCGGACGAGGATGACGACGAATGGGATGTGCCCGTGATCTGTGGGATCCATGTTGTCGAGGTCGAGCTCGCGCGCCCACTCGAGTAGGGCGGGGAACGGGCGGGTGATGCGCAGCGATGGGGGCGTCTCGTCGGTGTGCGGCTGGGAGACTGCGAGAAATCACCGGTACACACAGAGGATAAGGGATAGAGAGGACAAGATACATACTGCATTGTTCGTGGAACTGGATAAAAAAGTCGGCGAGAAACCCGGCCGAACGGACGACGATAAGTGGCGGATCGCCGATGTCCTCCCAGAGGAGACGGGAGAGGCTGTCAAGAGACGAAGTGGGCAAGTTGTGCGCGATGACGAGCGAGAACCCGCGGATGTAGGCGCGCCCGTCGTCGTCCGCGAGCAGGTCGTCGACGTGCTTGATCACAGCATCACCCTGCACGCTCTCGTTGAGCTCGCGGAGCAGGGGCACGGCCTCTGCCGCGCGGGGCTTGCCCACGCTCGCGGGGCCGGCGAGGAAGAAGTTATTGCCCGCATCGGCGGCGGAGACAGTGGCGGGGTCGAGAAGCGTGAAGTGCCCGATGCCAGGGAGTACGAGGTTCTTGAGGACGGCGTTGGAGGTCGCCGACGCGGAGAGGACAAGAATGCGGGCGGACTCGAGCGCATTCTGGCCCGACGCGGCCCAAAGACTGTGTGATCGATCGGTCAGTGGCGGCGTGCGGGCAGGACGCGGTACGCACCGGAGCTGGCGGTCGTAGCGGCGAGTCTTGTTGTCGGGTTGTCTGCACGACTATGAGCGCGATGAGTAGAAAAAGCAGGAAATGGAGCGCACTGGACGGCGGTGGTGGCCGAGTCGATGTCCTGGGATTCGTCGGTGCTCATCGTATACCGCGTCCACCAATAGCCGCTCAGTGCGTGCCTTGTTATACGCAAACTCACACGCGGCCTTGATGGACGCCCGTGTAACGCTCGCGTCGTGTCACGCGCCACCCTGTCACTCTTCCTCGCGCCGACCACGATGAGCTCGACGACGCAGCAATACGGCGACCTCGCGACGCAGCTCCTCACCGAGTCCCGCCGCTCCACCGCCACCGACACCCTCCTCAAATACAACGACGTCCTCGTCCGCGCCGTCATCCGCGAACAGCGCCAGCTCGAGGCGCTCCTCCAGGCTGGGCTCGCCGCCGCCCCCGACACGGACGACGACCCCGGCGCGCCGCCCAACCCCGCGCTCTCCACCGTCCTCCTCTACCAGACGGCCATCAACCGCAACAAGCGCTGCCTGCTGGCGTACCACGCGCACCGCATCGAGCGCCTCAAAGACCTCTACTGGCGCGTCGGTGGCGCGCTGCCCCTGCTGCTCTCCATGGCCGCGCCCGCCGCGCAAACCGCAGGCCAGGCGCACGACTCTGCGCACGCGCCGCAGCCTGCCGCCGCGGCGCCCGCGCCCGCCGACGTCCGCTCGAAGCTCTCCCCGCACGAGGTCGACTTTCTGCGCTCGTACAACGCGTCCCTCCTCGCGCTCCGCACCGACGCGTTCTCCTCTGCGACTGCCGCGGACCCCGGCGCGCCCTCCGAGGACGTCGACCTCATGGCGCCCATCGACCGCCCTCCGCGCGGGCTCACCGTCCACGTGCGCGTCGTGCGCGACTGCGGCGTCGTCCACACCGAGCAGGGTGCCATCGACTTCCGCCGCGGGCACCGGTTCCTTGTGCGTCGTGGCGACGTCGAGCACCTTATTGTCCAGGGATATCTTGAAGAGGCCTAGGCGTCGTCGCCCTAGGCTTCGGACTCTTATCCGATTCAATGTCTTACCAACCGCGACCGGTGTGATTGCAACCCTACAAGAGCCTATTGTGCGGATTGACAAGCTCTCCATACCCGTGGCATAGCGTGAGTATGATCACGCAGGGATTTACATCAGGGGTACGCCGCGGGGCGTGAGGTCGCGAGAGGACTCGGAAAGCCTGCGTGGTGGATACGGATACATGTTCCACCTATGCGAGAGGCTATATAGCACCAGCAGTGCGAGGTTGTCAAAGTCGATGGTACACGTTTATGATGAAGCAATCGGTCGTGGCCAACCTCGGGCGTTTCTCTGAAGCATATACCATTGCAGCTGTGTATCTTTACATTGTGACCGACCTCCCCACATCAAGAAGGTCAGCATAAATGAAGTCTGCCTACGGGAGACAGCAATGCCACAGTGAGTCTATATACGCACTGAACCAACGACGTCTGCTGCGTGTCAAGAAGTACCACGTGAGCGATTTCCAACTACACCGCCAATTGGCGCTCGGGTGGCAGCCAGATCTGCCGACGCGCATAGCCGCCACATGTGGTGCTGCTCGGCCGTGCTATTGTTCACATATCAGCACTATACATACCCTTTGTGTAGCCTCATTACGTTTATTAGCAGGAATAAGTATGTCGTCCACCCGGAAACCACATGTCGAAGCCTTCTGTCCCCGGATGTAATGCCCTAACGGACTCGGCTGGTGTCCCTGTGGTGTCGTTATTTGTCTTTTCTTGTGTTAGCATAGTAGCGAACCATATATTATCCTTACAGTAGCTGTTGTGGCCACGCTCCGGTGTGTGTATGTAAAATCACAGTCATTTGCACCAGATCTCGGGCTGTATTTGATGACGACACTACAAGTATGCTACTGGTATTTTTGCATGATCATAACACATATACATTACTGAATATCATGTCGATACATGCGTAGGGGGGCCTAGTAGCGGCCAGTTTTATTATCCATGTTAAGCACCGGCTGATAGTCAAAGCACAGTGCGAGCATCATGTAGTGTCTTGTCTACAGGTTCGGCTGTGCCCTGCCTATTCAAGTTTTCTTGCGCTTTTTCGATGTCCCCCCCTCGGGATTGTTCTCTCTTTGGGCTTTCTGTTCTGCTCGTTTTGCTTCCTGGGTTTCACGGAGTGTCTGTGCAAATTCTGCATGCTTGGCCATGTGATCCATAAAGACAGGCACAGGTGCTGTAAGGTGTCGTGGTAGAACTGTTCGAAGCAGATGTGCATTGTGGAATGAATGTGTGTTGATGACCCAGTGTTCGGTATCCTTGTGAATGAACTCTGGGTCCTCTATACTTGTTTCTTGGCATTCCTGAATGCGAACTTTGCGTCCCGAAACTGTGCATTTCCCGTGCACACAATCATGTTGAACGTTGATCTGAAATCTTACAGCCTGTTTTGTGGTATGAATTGACTAGTAGCAGATAGTGAATATCACTCACCGAGGCCTTGACAATAAGTAATAACATCTCCTGTTAAACCTAATGCGGGACGAGCACACTGTACAAGACAACGAATATATTTCAGTAGGCCGTAAGGGACGAACTCAAGTAAGTATGCACCTGTACAAGACAACAAATATATCTACGATGTGGTGCATTAGTATAATAATATCTACGATGTGGTGCATTAGTATAGTAATATTGTCGATGTGTTTAGAGGTACTCACTGACTTCAGTAGGCCATAAGGGATGAACTGAAGTCAGCCTACGCGTGGGAGTGAGAGTCCTACAGTACGAAAAGAGGGGACTGTACAGTAAGCCAAACAATGTCCAAACAATGTCCGGGCTGCGCCACAGGCGCATCACTGCCAGACGTCTCGTACGAACGAGCATCTGTGTGGAGGGCTTCTCGAACATTCACCCGAGTCGCCTGCGCCAGAGCTTGCGCTCTAACACTCCCCCTCAAGCCTTGCACAGGCCAAAGAGGGCAATGAGTTTCTCGACCTTCGTGCACGGGAGAGCCTTCATGAGAATGTCAGCAAGCATGTCGGTAGTGGGTATGTATGTGATCGACACAGTGCCGGAGTCTTGTACGGACTGAATGAACCGATATCGGATATCAATGTGTTTGGTCCTGGCATGCAGCAGTCCGGAATCAACGATGGCGATTGCACTCTGGTTGTTGCACTTTAAAGGCATGGCTTCGCGTAAGGGTTCGGTAAGCTCGCTGATGAGGTAACGAAGCCATAGAAGCTCGCAACCAGCCTCAGAGGCTGCAACATATTCCGCCTCGGTGGAAGACAACGTGATGATCGACTGCTTCCGAGAACACCAGCTGATAGCGCCGCCAGAGAAGGTGAACAGGTATCCGGAGATGGAGTGGCGGTGAGATAATGAGCACCAGTCCGCATCTGTGAACCCGATTAGCCCCTCCGCCAACCTGCCAAATGTAAGGCAGAAGTCTTGTGTGCCTTTGAGGTAGCGAAGAACGCGTTTTGCGGCATCCCAATGCATGGACGCCGGGTCACTCATGAATCGAGCGAGCAGCGACACAGCGAACGCAATGTCGGGACGTGTGCCGATTGCCGCATACATAAGGCTTCCAACAAGACGGGCGTATGGGCGTGTTGCCATTTCGCTGCGCTCCTCTGCGGTCAGGTCGTACTTGAATAAGTTGACGTGGGGGTCCAATGGTACGGACAGAGCATATGCGTCGGTCATCCGGGATCTTTCGAGGAGCATGCTGATATATCCTCCTTGGGAGAGCGTGAGGGTCCGGAGACGTCGGTCTCGCCTGATCTCGAAACCCAGGAGCCACCGAGCCTCCCCTAGATCAACAAGTTCATATCGTGAGCCAAGATCCTTCTTGAGCTTGGTCATGAGGTGAACCGAGCTTGTTACGAGGGTGCAGTCATTGACATGTGTTGAAGCACGCATTCAGGAACGAGCTCGCAAGCTCGGGCGCGCGAGTAACCGGGGGCCGGAGGCCCCTATCGTAGTATATAACGACCCCGCGCGATGTACGTACCACACGCGATTGTCCCTTACGGGCATCGCTACGCCCATGGACAAATGCACCCCGCACCGTTCGCACCGTTGTTACAACAACATGGATGACTATGATGAGTACATCCCCAATGCGAAAGAGGAAGAAGACTCCATAGTCATGTTCACTTCACTTTAGACCCAGTTCCGCGAATAACTCGCAGACCTTCTCGTACCACATGAGGCCTGCCTGTTTGAGGCCGTATAGTGCCTTGAGGAGCTTCCAGACCCAGTCATCGCGTTCAGGCACCTTGAACCCGGGTGGTTGGTGCATGTAAATGGTCTCGTCGAGGTCTCCGTTGAGGTACGCATTTTTGAAGTCGATCTGGTGAATCTCCCAGTCGTTTTGAGCTGCTAGCGCTAACACAAGCCGCAGTGATTCAAGGCGAGCAGTCGGAGCTGCAGTGTTCATGTAGTCGACACCGTGTACCTGCGAGAAGCCTTGTGTGCAGAGGCGAGCCTTGAACTTTGCTATGTTATTGTTCTCGTCTCGTTTCTTCCGTAGTACCCATGTAGACCCGACAACGTTGGTGCCTGGCGGTGGTGGTGGAACAAGCTCGTAAGTACCCATTGATTCAATGTGCATGAGTTCCTCGTGCATTGAGTCCAGCCAGGCCTCCCGCTCGGGGCCACTTAGTGCTTCCCGGTGAGAAGGTTCATCGCCCAGCATGGCAGCGAGAGCGTAGGTGACGCTTTCATCAGCTGCGAGGCTTCCGTGTTCCACTATTGATGAGGGAAGCTTCTGTGCTCCCCGGCCGCCCGCAGTGCCCACACTGGATTGTAGGTCCTTGATCCATTGTGATGGCTTGCATGTGCGTTGTGCTCTTGGCTCGGGCTGTACATGTGGAGGTGGGTCACAGCCTTGGTCCGTATCAGCGCCAACAATGGGTTCTGGGACAGGTACCACAGTCTTTTCAGGTGCATGCTGGCCAGTTGACTCAGCAGGAGAGTGCTGATCGTTTTGCAAGTGCTCCCCCTCGAGCAGCACATCGACTGCGGCGGTGGAGACATCTGGCTTGAAACGGACATCGCGCTCGATGCTGATGGTCCGCTTGTCCGGCCAATACACCCGGTGACCCTTGCTCTGCAGATCGAAGCCAACCCAGCGGCCGCGCTTGGACCTGACACCGAGCTTGGAAAGGGGATCAACACGCACCCATACAGTGGCACCAAAGCGAGGAAGGCCGGCGAGGTTAGGCCTTTCCCCGGTAGCGAGCTCGTGCGGAGTTGTTCCGGGGGTGTTGCTCGTCATCGTGTGGTTACGAAGCCAAACAGCATGTGCAACAGCTTCCCCCCATAGGAACCTGAGAAGGCTCACATCAATCAGCATTGCGCGAGCATGTTCGGTCAGGGTACGGTTGAGGCGTTCAGCCTTGCTGTTTTGCTGCGGTGAGTCATGCACAGTGAGGCAGCGGATTGTACCCTCCCCCTCAAGGTAAGCTTTGTATTCCTCACTTAGATACTCGCCCCCACGGTCACATTGTAGCTCCTTCACATGTTCGGTGTCACGTTGTGTCTTAGCCCATGCCCAGTATGCTTTGTAACGGCCGAAGGTGTCGCTTTTACATTGTAAAAAGTGAACAATGGCCTCGTCGGAGTGATTGTCGAGGAACAAGACATAGTATTCTTTGCCGCCGAGAGTAGCGACAGGCACCTTTCCCCAGATGTCCGTGTGAACGCGCTCGCCATACTTGGTAGTGCGTGGGCTCGAGTGCTGCTTTGGGAAGGGTGCATGGGTGTGTTTGGCTCTCACGCACGAGTTGCAGAAGACACTGGACTCGTCTGACAGCCTGACGCTGTCGACCACACCCGCACGGACCATTTTGAGCAAAGTGGGGCTGTATGCATGACCCATGCGACAATGCAGCTCATGCAGTGACACTAACATGACCTCTGCACTGAGCGCTCCCTCCTGTGCGCCGCCATCCGTCGTGGTAGAGTACAGCCCCTGACGAGCAGGGATGAGTGACAAGGTGCGTCTGTTGGGGGCTATGAGATGACAGCCATCGGGTTCAAAATGGACAGAGAAGCCAGCTTTGGTGGCCCGACTGACGGAGATAAGAGAGTGGGGAATGCTTGGTGTGTACAAAACATCCTGGAGCTTCACCTTCGTCTTACTGCCCTTGTATTCAGTTGACAGGAGGACGTCTCCCTCTCCGGTAGCATAAAATACCCGACCGTCAGCCGCCCGGATAGGCTTAGGATGAATGTTGCGGAAGTTCGCAAAGTCTGCACGTGTGGGGTGCAAGTGTCGTGTTGCGCCTGAGTCCCAGAGGCGAGGTGCATTGCCAGTTGTAGAGCGCAAGTGGGCGTCAGTGATGGGCGAGTCTACCGCTTTGAATGCGAAGACGTCACCATCATTGTCAGGCTCAGCGATGGCGGCTTTCGCGCTCTCGTGCGCATCCATTATGGCCTTCTCACGATGAGCTTTGCTCCTAGGTCCCTGGCCCTCCTTCCCTCCACCTTTACTCCAGCAATTTGGTTTGGTGTGGCCAGCACGTCCGCAATTCAAGCACTTATTGGGGTTGTCGGCTACAAGGGCAGAGTCATCGACGAGAACAGGGCCAGCCAAGGCGAATTCATCCTGCGCGATTGCGTAGATTTGTTCGACCAGTGCAGCTGGAGATAAGCCAGAGCATGGCGTCGTGGAGGTGGTGCCAGGCGGTGAAGGTGACGCCGATGTTGCCAAAGCTATGAGGTGTGCAGAAGACAAGATGGTGTGTACCACGCCTTTGTAGCTCAATGGCAGACATTTGAGTATGATCACCTTGTAGCCAGCGTCATTGAGGGAGCCTCCGGCGGCAGCGTACTCTGTGCGTAGCCGTTGTAGCTCGTTGAGCGTCGGTCAAGGGTTGCTTCCATTCTCAGTGGTGAGGGCATGCATACGGGTGAGAATGTCCATCTGAACAAACTCCCCCTGATTTTCGTGCTGTTTGCAGATGAGGTTCCAGGCATCCGAGGCCTTCGGCAGGGAAAGGATGTGAAGCTTCATTGTCTCCGGAATGGTCTGGAAAAGGAGTGCGCAAATGGCTTCATGCTTTCCTGTCCAGATGTCGAGTGCGTTCTCGTACTTTTCGTCAGCATCTGAATCGACACCTGGAGCTGTCGGTTTGATAGGTCTTTTGTCGCGACCTTCGAGGAACCGCAATAGGCCCTTGGATGACACCGTCGCCTTGAACTGGGCCTTGAACAAGACCCAATTCGATCGATCCTCAGCGAGCTTGGGGAGGTGGCTGATGGGCGACTCATTGGAGCTGAGCGTGATCTCGTAAGTGTCGGTAGGGCTCATAACCTGTTAAACCTAATGCGGGACAAGCGCGCTGTACAAGACAACGAATATATTTCAGTAGGCCGTAAGGGACGAACTCAAGTAAGTATGCACCTGTACAAGACAACAAATATATCTACGATGTGGTGCATTAGTATAATAATATTGTCGATGTGTTTAGAGGTACTCACTGACTTCAGTAGGCCATAAGGGATGAACTGAAGTCAGCCTATGCGTGAGAGCGAGAGTCCTACAGTACGAAAAGAGGGGACTATACAGTAAGCCAAACTGTCACGAGTTGGTACGGCGTCTAGCCATTTTTAATTTTTCCTTTTCGCGGGCTCGAACCCGCGACCTCTGTACTACATGCCTGATATGGATGCATCACTATCTACTGTATGATTAGATTAGATGGGGCGGCAGTGTGCGGCACAGCTCGGGCTCCGCTGACACAGCCGCTGTGACTCACCGGCCCCCGGGGCCGTGTCAGCATGCTGTGCACGGACCAGCTGTGCACGGACCAATGCGCACAGCCTCCCCTAAACTTCCCCTGTATATAAGCCTGCCTCTGCTGCCCTAGGGACCTCAGTTTCGACCTCTTGTCCCTAGCCTTAGGTTTGAGCCTCGCTCACCATCGCTTCGGTAAGACAAGTTGAATGCCCCCAGCTTTAGGTTTTCCCCTGTCGCTTGACCCTAAGTCGCGACATTAGGTCGAAACTCCCCAACGCTGCCGGCATTCCAAAACAAACACACTCACTT